GGCTTCATTCGCCACTTCTAGTCCCTATCCTCCGATGGGTCTTTTCCAGTCCACCGAGCCCAGGGAGGACAGACACTAGAGCGAGTCGAGGACGAGACCGGCTTCATTCGTTACCTCAAGTCCCTACCTACCGTCACAGATGAAACCGCCAGGATATTCGACAGAAGCGATTGGTATACGTGGACCCATGGCGAAGAGTTTATTGCGAGAACAGTATGATGGTCCACCTATGCTTTGGCAAGGCATTGCTAATATCATTCCTTCAGGTGTACAAGACATTGTCGGTAGTCCGACAACTCGGCCGAAATGATGCGAGCGGTTTACCGTCGGTTACTATGACTATTATCGGATATCGAGTATGGCTGAGTGATTACGAGGATAATGTGCGACGCACACTCGCACAATCACGGGTCCTTGTTTAATTCCCGCGATACACACAACAAGGGGCTCCGGAAGACTATGCGCGTGTCAAATTGATGCTGCACCACCCGTTCAGAGATCTTGATGATCTAGAGATCTTGATGACCTCAAAAAGGTCAATGGCGTTGCCTACGATATATACCAAGGTGCGTATGAATTTTGCACCGCCTTGAACCATCAACATCCTATCGACTATTACGATACCTTGGTCAGATCACCGGGGTCGGCTTGGCAATCCATAGATGTCACTCAGCTTACAATTCAATATACTGCATGCCCCTATGGTGCAGCTCTCACCAGTCAATCCATCCGGAAACGTGACACGTCGAGGATCAAAACGACATTCAAGAGTCTTGGGATGGTTTGGATAGGGATATTGAAAGGGATGCTAAAAAGATGTAGGAAAATGATGAATTCAAATTCCATCCTTGTGAATTGGACTGTACCAAGTGAAATTGCCTTGCGAGGGACCCTTTGGGCGCTAATCTTTTTTCGTCTGACGTAAAATGGATTCCATATTTCGACAATTCAGTCGAGAGGCGCTCTGCCAGATCGGCAAGTGGATACAGAGATATACTGGACGCATGAACTGCAAGATTATCGAGTAGGTGTCCCGGCCACCTACAACCTCTTAGTTTGGCAAGCTTTCCAGATTTACTCCGCCTAGCCGTGAAGTGTTTGATTTCAATCCAAGTGTCATTCTCGTCGCCCCTATTTACTTGAGATTTGTCCAAGTGACGTGGACAGAATGGTATGCCGAATGCTTCAAGACCTCATCCGACGCATAAAAGTTCTAGATCGAACGCTTACCTACAAGGTACGTGGTGGCATGCGCCGAGTAGCCCGTCCCGCTTGGTAAATGTGGGACATTTCCGCCTACAAGGTCATGCGCAAGAAATCGGGTTTGAAAATTATTCGCATTGAGTAAACTATTTGAGATTGACATTGAAGGACCAATTGTGAAATATTACAATCCAAATATCCAAGACCTCTGCGTCAACCTTGAGTATCACGACCCGAGACGTGTCGATTGGTCTTGATACCGCCGAGGGACACTACAGCATTTGGCTTCTCGGGGGATGGTTTTGTAGGCGAGCTTGAAAGCATGCATAGGGCATCGCTGCTGAGCCTCGCTACTGGGCGTTCCTCGTGTTTCGGTGGAGATGGCTTGCTTGAGATGGATGGCTTCTCGGGGGATGGTTTTGTAGGCGGGCTTGAAAAACATGCATAGGGCTTCGCTGCTGAGCTTCGCTGCTGGGTGTTCCTCATGTTTTGGTGGAGGTGGCTGATTCATTGCCAGCCATTCGTCTAAAGTCCATTCCACCGGATACAGATAGTTGCTGCAATGGCTTGATGATTTGCTTGAGAATGCCGCTCATCAAAGTCTTGGAGATGGTGAGGGTCGTCTTGTTGCCAGTGCCCAGCCACGCGAATAGGAGCGAATTGGAGTTGCTGCCCTGGCCAACTATGTCCACCGTCAAAGTTGGATTCGGAATGGTGACCGGTGTTATAGTGGTGATTTGGGGCGCTGGTGACGGCGTAGATGTGTGTATGGGACAGGATGGCAGATGCTCTGAATCGAGATTATGGTTCGCTGGGAAGGATTCGTCTGCAAGATGTGGTATTAGTATAGTTTCAAGGAAAGGGAGAGAAACGAAAAAAGAAGGAGAGGAAAGTAGAGAAAAAAAAGAAAAAAGAAAAAAAAAGAAACAAGAGCAAAACACAAAAATGTAGAGAGAAAAGAGAAAAGAGAAAAGTAAAAGGAAAAAAGATAAGAAACAAAAAAGAAGAAAGGAAATTGCGTCCCCTTAGGACTTGTCAATGGATCCATAGGAATCGTCCATAGCATCTTTTAAAAAAAAGAAATAACAATGGTAACCTAACGCGTAGTCGCCTATGTGTCATTATAGTACGATTAGATAAGTATACGGGAAACGACCGTTAATATATTACAAAAAACGGCGAAAGGGCAATCGTGCCTATATTTTATTTATTTCGCTGCTTCGACGTTATAGGAACTACTTGCACCCGTAAGCGATTCCCGCTTTGATTGGCCGCTGCCATTACGGTTTATAAGGCACAAGGTATAATTTTATCCAAAGTTGTTGTTAATATTGCAAAGCGAGAATTCCAATCTGGTTGGGTATGTACAGCCTTGTCTCGGGTAACAATTCTTGGCGGCATTATAATCGAGGCGCCGTTTGGCAAGTCTGTTTTGAATCGCAGCCTTCCTCCGACTGCCTTATATCGGCAAAATGACTGTTTGAAGAGGACGGAGCAAGAGATACTCCTATAGTAACTGATGAAGAGGCCAGCAATGCCCGTACGACGCTCATTCGAGATTAACCTGGCATAAGAGTGTGGTTATGGGATATTGACGACACGACCCTCGTGGAGATTGACCTGGCAGGAAAAGAGGCTAGATACGACACTCGTTTTAAGACTGTTTGACAGAAAATTGTGGTCGTGGAATATTGACGAGACGACACGACACTCGTTTAAAGATTGACTTGCAAGAGAAGGGGATAGATATGATACTCATTTGGAGGCTGTCTGGCAAAGGATCATGGTCATGGCAATTTACAGCACGACACTCGTTTGGAGGCACATGGCAGATTCTCTCATTCTGCGGTTAGTGGGAGAATAATAGGGCAGTATGCCTGGACCCGTGGTAATCCACTCAATGCCATGATGTAGATGTGTGAAAGGCTATTTACAAACGCTCGTTTCCTGGAAATATGCACCTCTGAGAGACAGACAAAGGGTTGAATGAAATGACGTGTAAAGTACTTGGCACTTACAATGCCACACTAACTCGGACAATGAACAAGAGACAAGAAATCGACTTTTTATCGTCGAGATACAACAAAAGTGTTCTGTCCTCTAGACAAATAACCTGCGGGTATAAAAAGGGGATCATCTCCTGCAATCAAATCTTGTTGCAGACTACAAGTCAACTCTCAAAATGTGCTGCAACAATCAATCAATCTGCTCGTGTCGGGCGTGCTACAAGACGTATAAACCCATCGTAAATGAATGGGACGTGCCACCAGGAGAAGAGGCGCCATACAATGCTGAATTAGAAGAGGAGCCACTCCTGGTGGAAGAAAAGTTGCAACTCGAGGCAGACACGCATTGGGGAACGTGTCAAGTCGACGACGGCTACGAAAAGGAGCAACGACAGCTGGCCCGTGGGGAAAAATACCAGCCACCACACATTCCGGCAATATACAAAAGAAAGCTTGGCCCTCCCGTCTGCAATGCCAGTGGTCCTGGGCACGCATTTAGAGCGTCTAGGGCTGAATGAGGAGTCCGTCATTTGGAGAATCAGGAACAATTTGTAAATGGCCATTATTACCAAATAAGAGTCTCATTATTGAATCATCATGCTACTTGTCGTATCATCTCCGCCGTCTAAATCTACTACCAAATCCAGGTCCACCCTTGGCACCATTGTTGCGCAGCTTGAGCCGTTTAAAGTTGGCATGCGCCATGGCATTGACCTTTTTTGCAGCCTTTTTGATTGGATTTTCCTTCTCCATTTTTGTGGCTTCCTTTAGTATTTTTGGCTTCTTCGGTTGTTTGTCTTCCCCGTCATAATCTGAGCCAAGAAACTCGGGTTCTGATTCGAGATCTAGAGGCCATTCCTGGTCGCCAATCACCCGTGCAGAGTCGAATTGTGTCTCGGGAACCACTTCTGCACCCTCCTCAATATCAGAATCAGGCTCATTGAGTGGTTGCTGTGGTCTCTTTGCACGAGATGGCTTCATGTTGACCTTTTTTGTTGTCCGCTTTTGTCCCTTCTTCTTGTATATCCTCAAAGGCAAGCCATCGCGACCCAACTCGGGCTCTGCTTCACTGTCGAGCTCAGCCTCGTCGTCAAATCCGTCAAGAAGTTGACGATTCTGGCTGTCGGGCTCTAGGATCTTTGGCAGTTCCTTGGCCTTTGATGACTCTTCCCTGGCCTCATTTTCCATCTCGTGCATGGCCTCTAGTTCTTCGTCTAGCTTTTCCTCTTCCAATTTCCTCAAACTGGCTACAACGCTGCTGAGACCGCGTCCCAGGGGCTTTCGAGGAAGCCTAATGGGTTGTGGAGAAGTGTACTTGCCATTCTCGTCCAGTGGCGGCATGGGGGCTCTTTTCAAGAAAGCTGGAGTTGCAAACAAAAGATTGCTGGGAGACTTGAAATCTTGTACATTATTGTCTCGATTCTTGAGAGGCGTCGCAAAACTTGCACGTTTGCTTGATGAACGAGGCGTCGTCCCTAGCTTGGTTGCGCTCTTAGACTCGAGCTCGGCGTGTTTACGCTTACTAGGCGTTGCCTGTAGCTGCGCATGCGGAGCAGCAACATTATTCGATCGTGGTGCCGAGGGTGTCTCATCCACTAGATCAAACAGACCAAGAATCTTTCCATCTCTTTGTGGAGTTGGTCCTATGGAAGTCGGGGCGGCTGGGCTAAAGAGTCTCCGGATAGATGGTGTCTCCATACCATCGAGGAGATCGACATTTGGTTTGGGCTTTGAGGGTGTCGTGGCAGGTCTCGTTCGCTTGGGAGTCTGCGTCAACGTGCTCTTCTTCTTGGGCGGTTGAGTCTTGCCATCGAGTATGTCGCGAACTTGATTATATTTCTTGTACTTTTGGGCTACATTGTGTTAGTAGACTCTGGCGAGATTGTCACCAAAAATACCCACCTATTATCGGGTTCGCCTTGATATCGCTGCGATCTGGTTTCTTGCCATCATTCTTCTTTGCCCAATCTCCTTCAAACTGCTTCAATGCAACTCGGAGCTCCTGCGCTCGCGCCTCGTATTGCCGTCTTTCGGTGTCGTCCATGTCAAAGTTTTATGCGGGGTTGTCAAAGTAAATACGGAAAAAAGACTTGACATTTACAAAACCCCCAAACGCCCGATTGTAAACAAGCAGTATGCTGAGCGAGCTTAAGAGATTGAACAAATCCCATGTGCAAGAAACGTGGAATTGGCAAACTGCGCGAGGAATGCACAAGTCCCCATCACACGCGAACCATGGGGTCTCGAATAGTGCAAGGGACCGCGTTTGTAGCTGCAATTAATGGAGCGCGACGCGACGCGCATCGACCAGACGTTAGAATGTCGAGGTGGGGCAATATGTTACGTAATCCACCGACCCCGCTAGAGCCCAAGGTCCCGAGACTGAGGATCGGGCCTTTCGGGACGGAATTAGTGCATCCTGCCTGCCTCGGATCTGTCAACCTTGACAGTCGCGGACTTGTTCATCGACTCATTTGAAATTCATGATACCTTGGCTGCAATTACAAGATTCGATACAAGTTCTTGCTTTTAGTTCTCGATAACCATCAACGAAACACAATCCCTGTTGCGTTTGCGTCGGGATCGATTCACGTCATTGCTTTTAATTCTTGTTTTTGAATTTTTCAAGCCGCGCCTGGTAGCCAGTGACGCCCACCGGGCAGGACTGGGCAGTTCTAATCGTAGGATACGAGGTACACCTTTTCCATATCGATTCTGGACTACACGGCACATGGAACCTGATGACGACGGAGCAGATGTCCAGGTCAGGGTGCTTCAACATACGCTGCAAGAAGTAGCCTTTGGAAGCGCATCCAATGGAAACGACCAAGTTGATTGTTGCGTCATCTGTTTAGATGCTATAACAGAAGCCTGCGAGGCTCGCCCATGTCAGCATGGCAACTTTGATTTTGTTTGCCTGATCAACTGGCTTGAGCAACAGCCCAAATGCCCATTATGTAAATCTGCGGTCACGGAAGTTCGCTACAAATTTGAGGAGCCAGACCGGGGTAGGTGGAGGACATATAAAATCTGTGCGACCGCCAGTTCAGATTCTACGGCGGCAAGTCGCGGCACATTACTGCCGCCGAGGAGGAGCTGGCCCTCTCGCAGACAACAGCGAGAGGCACATACTTTTACTCAAGACGAGGCAATCATACGCCGCCGGCAAATTTATCGTCATGGACTGTACTCGATGCATGTTGGGACAAACCGAAACACCAGATATCGAGAGCTCACACCTCAGCTCTTTGAACAAGATCCAGATCTTGTGTCGCGGACACGAATGTGGTTGAGGCGGGAGCTCAAGGTTTTTGAATTCCTACACACCCCGACTGACGCTCAGGACAGCGATGACATCATGACCCAGAGGCGCGCGAACAATGCTGAATTCCTGCTCGAGTACATTATAGCCATCTTGAAAACCGTCGACATGCAAGGCAGCCAAGGCCAGGCGGAAGACATGTTGCAGGAGTTCTTGGGCCGGGAACACACTCGACTATTGCTGCACGAGCTAAAAAGCTTTCTCAGAAGCCCATCCATATCCTTGCAGGCATGGGATCGGACTGTTCAATACCCAAGTGTCTCCTCTATAAAGCGGCGCAGTAATTCTCCTGGAACAAGAACCCGATCCGACTTGGATTCCTGGTCGTCAGAGGTCCGTGGTGGAGACTTTTATCGACCCAGGTACTCGGGGACGGATCGGCATGTAGGGTCTGCGCGGGGCCCGAGACCAGGTCCGGTTCATTAGCTGGATGCTTTTCACAGCCTGATTACTCACTATTCTGATTTCTTGTCCAAGCAGATATGCATCCTAGATTTGCCTTGTGAAATGTCGAGTCTTGTATTGTTGAATCCCCCTACTGGCTCGATCCTGAATGGGCAGACGGCATATATTCAAAATACTACGACGGCAGCTCTCTTAAAATGCAAATATACATGTTTAATAAACGCGACAGTCACCAGGAAATCATGCCCTGGATATACAAGTACCTCCGCTAAACTAGCTCAATGGCGAGATTTGAGAGAATATGTATGTTGTCATTCTATGAAATCTATAAATTGGTGTGAATCGTGACATCTTTATCATAACTGACTGGACTAGACTTTTGGCTACATGAATACGTTACAATTACATACTATGGATCAGACGGTTCCCATCGGATTACGTGGCAGCAGGGTAATCCTCATGTCGAGCGTCTCTTTGAAATGTATACCGGCCAATGTTTAGGAACGCAAATAAAGTAGGCCATCCATTCCCATTCTTTGCCTGGTTGTACTTGTTTGAACTCGTAATCTCTCATCATGGTAGCCTGCATCACATATCAGTATACGCTTGAGCAAGCAGACATGATCCACTTACACCGATCTTGGAGAGTTGGATGCGAGCGATATGCTGTCCAGGGCAAGACGCCCATCCCAAGCCCCACTATGATATCTCGTCAATGCATTATTCTGTCTTCTTCCATGTGACACTTACAGGACAGAAATGCTTTTCAAGCAACGCGGCATCTGGTTCAAACCAGCGATCGGGGTTGAATTCATCAGCATCTGGGCCCCAAATCTCTTTGTCCCTCATTAAAACATATGGATTGACCGACAACACTGTGCCTTCTGGAAAGAAAACACCACCAATCTTCACACCGCCCTTGGGTGCAACACGAGGTAAGCCCACTGCCAAGGTCAGCATATTACTATTGATTACTCGAGATTGACCTACTGGGAACAGGAGCAAAAATTCGCAACGCTTCCTTGATCGCAGCTTGCAAATAGGGCAGTCTTTGTGCATCATCGTGGCTGACGACTGGATCCATACAATACCCTTGCTTGACGGCCTCACCCACTTCGTCCTGGAGACGTTTCCAGACCCTGGGCTCACGTATGACATGATAGATTAAACTCCTAAAAACCAATTAGCTCCATGGAATCTTGATTGTCAAAAAACATACTGAAGACTACATGAAAGTGTGTCTGATCCGGCACCCAGGTTGCTCATGGCGGCAGCAAACAATCGACCTTCATCCCAGACAAGATTGACATCACCGGCTTTACCCAAAGCCCGGTACCAGTGGGCACATATATCAAAGCGAGCATCGGGGTTCTTCTTGCGCTCCTCGAGGGCGCTCTTGGTGATGGCGCCGAGGTGGCCAATGGGCAACAGCTCCATCCATGTTGTTAGTGGATTGCAAAAGACATAACTGATCCATCGAAAGAACCCAAAGACGGTCAAGAAAAGCTCAATGGCCTCATTGTTTGCAATGGCACCTCCAATATCCTCGCCCTTTTCAATAAATCCAAAAGTCTTGGAAAATGTAATTTCCCCCGTGATATCGTACGCCGCATACGAAAAAAAGTCCCCAAGCTCCATCGACTTTTGGTTTTCTGCTGCGTGATCAAACCAACCAAAGAGCCCTCGAAGGACTTCATCTATTTGAGATTCGGAGCGTAGGACATTGTGCTGAAGAAAGCCCTGTGACAGATATTTGGCACTATGGATCTTTTCCTTGGCATTGACGACAGACAAGGGTCCGGGAAATCGGTAGTCTGGAAAAGCGAAAACCTTGTACCATTCGCCCTGTCGATCACTGATCAGAACAATTACCGCACAGACGCAATGTTCATGGATAGGAGAGTCTGGGCTTGTCTAGAGGTAATGGACTGACCTTTTGGAGTGGGGCCATGAAAAGTGCCCGGGTAGCTTCTGAATGGCATACACTGACTTCATTGTGAGCAATCCTCACAAAAGGTCCTGGATGATATTAGTATGGTAAACTTGCAACATGCGGGCTCCTCACCATGTTTCCCATGTTGTTTAGCCAGCGCGAGCTGCTGATCGCCCTTGAAAATGTGATACAGATGCCAAAGGCGAGAAAAGGATGCCAGAAAAGGGCCAGGAATGGAGCTGGCGGCACAAAAGTATCGTCGTCGTAACGCTACGAGTAGCAATACGGTACTCTGTAAAAGTAAAACCTGTACAAAAATAGATCCTCTGGTCCGTGTATTCAAGTCTGCCAAGTTGAAGTGAACGTCACTCAAAGCTTGACAGCTCAGAACCGAGCATAGTCGCGAGGTAGTGTTTGTGGTTGCCATGTTTGTAGTATCTGAAAAGCTCAGACTCCAACGGGGAACGAATAGTGGTAGGGTGAGACTATATATCAGACACGGACAGAACTGATCCGCACTAGATGATCAATGGATCTAGGAGAGGAATCCACAAAGCAAAAAGGTTATCGGTTTGATGGGGCAACTCTGATATATAGAGACATGAGCGTGGTTAGTCTTGACCTGTCATTGGTGCGAATCGTCCGCGCACTATTCTTTGCTTTTGCAACGTCTCGGGGCTGTCCGTCATTCCTTTTCTCCAATTTGAATGACAGCTCAAACATTGAGGCCTCGAACCTTTTCATATTAATTGTGTCTACTCAACAGCAGATCAAAACTCGACGCCTCGCTATGCAGATGCAACCACCCCTGTCTGATTAGATCATGGCCCACCAGCCCGGACACGGGAATCCCCTTTTGATCCCGGCCATCATTCATACCCCTTGCACGGCAGCCTAGACTCTGGACGCTCATGCTTGCTTCTTGTCTCCGGCCCCACACCTCCGCTCGCCGTTTGGGGTCTATTGGCAGAATCAAAATGACCCGGCCGGCGCAAAGAAAAAGAAAAACCCCCTCGGTTAATATATCCTGTATCAAAAGATATCATTTACATGTTCGAGGTCTGAATGATCCATCATTTCTGCCAGTGGGTATCGTGTGCTTGGACTCGGCCAGCTGATGCGCCACCTCATCCTGCGGTCGATTATCTAGATCCTCCATGACTTGGCAGAAAACGTCTCATTGATTGGTACGCTCGCACTTTTCCATGGATTTGTGGCTCCAACACGGCTTGAAATAGGATGCAACCCTATTGTCCCAAGAGACGCAGCCATGCCAACTCCTGCATGACCGACGTTTGTGACTGGTTGATTACAAGGGGACAATGCGATCGAGAGCCTTGTCCAAAAGACCCCTCTAGTAATCCTTTCCGGGCCGGAGGTCGCGTATTTGATATTCGAGATTGTCGTGCTCGAGGACATGGCCGCCGGAGCTCGTTCCGGCACTTGTATACAGATTATCCACGCTGTGGGGGTGAAATGTACTGGTTAGAGTACAGTCGAGCACATGGCCCAGTCCAGGTGGGTTTGTCAGGCGGAAAATGCCATACCTAAATGAGTTATTATAACATGCAAGAATGCTACATGACTTGTAGACTTACGAGGGATTGTCGGTTGGAGCACAGACAATGGCAATACTTTCTGGCAACATTACTTGATAACCCGATTGTGTGTGAAGATCTCTGCTACTCATGAAACAGGTCTGAGTCGGGTGCGTATGGATCCAACCGAGCTGTATGAGGTCCTCTTTATCACAAAAGTCGAACAAGGCTCCCTCGTTTTCCGTCTCGCACGTATCAGACGTACATCGCTGCTCTGGAATGACTAGGCATCTGACGAAAAGCGCATTGTTGACGGCGGTACCGCACAAGACGCCACACATTTCCAGCCCTTTTTGCGTATTGTGTGCGGCTAGGCGCAGAAAATCCAGGCGCATCTTGGATGGTAATATGACGCAGCGCATTGGTTCCCCATTTTCCAAATATGCAGCAGGTTTAAAGGTCAGATGCTCTCGGTTAGATGTCTTTTTTGGTGGCTCCACATCAAGCTCCTTGGGCGGCCGCACGGGAGCAGCCGATTGATGCACTTGAGGTATCGTTTGAGGGCTCATGGGTGGCCAGAGAGGCTCCTTGGAGGGAAGTTCTGGTATCGGTTGCTGCGGTGGTGCAATCTCGAAATGGGCTGGAATCCCTGCTTTGGGCGGCCTGGGCGGCTGCTGTAATGATTCGATATCAGGTCTTGATAGACCTTGATATTGGACCGGTGTCGATCTCGTGATTGATGGGTAAGAAAGGCCTGGCTCGACAATGCCCAGGGGCCTGTATGTGGATAGCTCATCTCTCTCTCTCTCCGCCTGGCCCATCCTTGTGACGTATTCGTGGATATGCTGATTGTCAGGGCCATCTTGCAGGCCATGAATCGACTGAGTCTTTTGCCTAAATATTTCTTCACTCTCTGCTTGTGTTTTTGCCAGTTCGTCTGTCCATGCATTCCAGAAACCAGCCGTACGTCTGCTTTGCTCCTCTTCTGTCGACAGTCCGTTGAGTCGCGAGGCTCTTCTGTCTGCATCGCGTCTATTGAATTCCTTCTTGGCAAGGTCTACAGCTAGATCCAGGTGTTCGCCAGCATCAAGCACCTTTGCTTTGGAAGATAGTGTAGGGTCTCGAGCGGCATGCTTTTCGTATGTTGTCTGCGTGGCTTGCGCATCAGCATCAGCCTGGTTCTGGATTTGCGGGCCATTCCTCCTCGCCTCATTAGCTAACCACTCGTCGTACTCGCGATTGATAATGGGCCGGATCATTTCCAGGTTCTTGAAAATATCTTCCAGACCACTCCTAGCTTGTTTCATGAGTCTCTTTCCTTCGGGTGTCTTGGCCTGTGGATGTTTGGGTAGGTAGGTCATGAGCAAGTCGGACAGTCGGAGGTACAGCATGAATGCCTTGTGAAAGTTCCCATCCTGAAGGTAGCTCCTGGCTTCTCTGTCCAGAGTCTTGGCGGTGCGCAGCCACTGTTCAAGTGTCAGGGCGGTCGTAAACTGGAAATCGGCGGCTTGACGGGATATCTCCTTTGCACTCATGGGTCGGCGGGGGTTGTCGGCAATCATGTTGGCGGCGACTCTTGTCTTGGGCAGACTTACCCTAGCAAGCTGCCCATTCAAGAATATCATGTGGTGTTTTCTTTGATGCGGACTCGATCTCGAACAAGGTTGTTTGCGCAAACGTGCTAGCTGTCGACGGTCGTCTATCAGAGGACTATGGCTGTAATCGCTTCAGACATGAGCTGGTGTGACAAAATTGACCAAGGATGGGTAAATGGCTGCAAATTGTTGCTCTCAAGATGAATGTCGGGCCGTAGTCTTGACAGCACAACAACCGACTCAGTAAATGTACCCAGCAAGCGCATTGGAACATATGTTGGGCTTACGGTTAGGCCAAGGCAACCGCATCCGTGGTTAAGAAATGATCCGATGGCAGTGTCCCAGGGTCCAGGCACCCCGCTAGCCCCGCCATCCGCCCCAACGTCATAGTAAGCCATCCTTGCAAATAAATTCCCAAAGTCTAGACAAGACTGTAGAAAAGCATTGATTACCTCGTGTTACGTGAGTGAGTCTTGTTGTATCTAATGCTGACGACCATGAATCTCGAGATGGATACGGCCAAGGGCGCGGTCAGACTCGTCTTGGAACTTGGCAATATCACATGGCAACACAAAAGGTCAATAAGAGCTGTTCATCGAGAGGATAAAACATTACATGCACAAGGTACGCAAGCCACAGCAATACATGTGGCACATCACTTCTCAGACAACATACGGCCTTGTTGGCGTTGGTGATCCTCGGGTCTTTCAACTCCTTGGTTGCGAGCCAAGGTACCTGCCCAGATTAGAAACCTATCTAAAAGGGTAAGAGATTACATGTTTGACATGTCAACAAGGACTCTTTTCATTTCGTGCCTGGCATCTTTGTGGAATTATTTACGTGGCTCCTTCTCCCAGCAAAAACAGGATACTTGCGCTTAACTCTGTGCAGCGACCTGAGAAGGACCAGCTGCCTGAGCCGTCGACTGAGTCTGAATGATTTCCGTCTTCTTCTTCTCAATCTTGTCTTGGATATCCTTGATCTGCTTTTCCGTCCTCTCACTACATCAAATCAGTCTCGGAGTGGCCAGTACTGCTGTAGTCTCGATGAAGCTTACATTTCTTTGCCAATGAATTCTATGCGTCCCTTGACTGTGCTCTCGGCCTCAACCTTGTCCTGCTTCAGCAAGACTGGGCCGACGAGCTTGTAAATATTCTCCTCATCCTTGAGATTCTCAAATTCCTGTTTGATGGAGATGAGTATTCCAATATCGAGTCAAATGGCTAGAGGGCAGTCACCTTTTGAACACCGAGGTTCTCAGTCTTTTGCGCTTGTAGCTTCTGCCTCGAGGCAACGACTGTCTGAAGTTCTATCACAACGAATAAGTATCAGCTTCTCCCAGAACATGCTGCTCAGGTAGGCTAGCAAATGTTTTACCTTGTTGCAGCTTCTGGTAGTCCTCAGAAAGAGCCTGCAGCTTTGCTTGGGCTTCGGCCATTTTCCAGGTTGAGCTCAAAGGGGCTTTGCGTTACGAAACAAACAAGAAATGCAAAATCTAGAGCTCCTTGAAACTCACTCTTGGGCAGCCTTTAGGGGTTCAGGTGAACTGCTGTATAAACCGTCCTAAAATGCTGCAGGACAGCCAGTGGACACAACGACTTGGTTGCCCATGATAAGCCCCGCCATTCCGCGATAAGGATAGCGCGAGCCTCTCTCCAAGCAAGGCAAGGCCCCCAGTCACAACCTGGAAGCCGCAGCTGAGTGGACGTCAGTGGTCACAACAACCAAACCTCGCCCATTGCCAATATCGCTCGAGCGCGCACTTGTTGTTGTTGACAATCAAACGTTCTTGTCATTCTGCGCTGTGCAGTCATCGACTACTCTGCGGCCATTGCATCCAGGCAAGACTCATCTTCTCGAGCACCAAACCGCCCGCACTTGCTGCGATAACCGCCACCCCAAAGCCCTCTGTACCCCTCTCCTCGACTGGTCGACATGTCAAACACCGACTTCCTCGGCCGCGCGATAGACACGGTGCGCCGCGCCATCGATGCTGATAATGGCAACCAGTACGACAAAGCCTACCAGCTGTATTACCAGTCTCTCGAGCTATTCATGCTCGCTCTCAAGTGGGAAAAGAACCCCAAGTCCAAGGAAATGATTCGTCAAAAGACCGCCGAATACATGGACCGTGCCGAAAAGCTCAAGTCACATCTCGCCGATGCCGATGCCAAGCGGAAGAAGCCCGGCATGGTTGGTGCTAATGGCTCCAGCACTGGTGGAACAGCCAAAGGCAAGCAGGATGGCGACGGTGAGGTGAACGAGGACAACCAGAAACTGAGAAACGCACTGGCTGGCGCCATTCTCCAAGATCGGCCGAATGTCAAGTGGGATGACGTTGCCGGTTTGGACGGTGCCAAAGAAGCATTGAAAGAAGCTGTACTGCTTCCCATCAAGTTTCCCCATTTATTTCAAGGCAAGAGGCAGCCATGGAAAGGTATCTTGCTGTACGGTCCGCCTGGAACGGGTAAGAGTTACTTGGCAAAAGCAGTCGCCACAGAGGCCAAGAGTACATTTTTCAGCATATCAAGTTCCGACTTGGTGAGCAAATGGATGGGTGAAAGTGAACGGTAAATTCAGCCAGTATTTGGTCCTGAAGTCATGCTAACAATGCGCTCAGGTTGGTCAAGCAACTTTTTGCCATGGCTCGCGAGAATAAACCCTCGATTGTTTTCATCGATGAGATTGACGCTCTCTGCGGCCCGCGAGGCGAAGGTGAATCAGAAGCTTCACGCAGAATCAAGACGGAAATGCTGGTACAGATGGATGGTGTGGGCAAAGACTCGACCGGTGTGTTGGTTCTCGGCGCCACGAATATCCCCTGGCAACTCGATGCCGCTATTCGAAGGCGTTTCCAGAGGCGCGTGCATATTAGTCTGCCTGATATTGCAGCAAGAACGACAATGTTCAAGCTCGCCATTGGAGAAACGCCAACAACCCTAAAGAATGAGGATTACAGGGAGTTGGCAAAGTTGGCCGAGGGCTACTCTGGTAGCGATATTGCAATTGCTGTACAAGACGCCCTAATGCAGCCAGTGCGAAAGATTCAACAAGCTACACACTTTAAAGAGGTAAAGACTGAAATGCCGTGTCACTTGCATAATGCTGATATTGATTCATTTCAGGTCGAAAAGGACGGCATGACCAAGGTTACTCCATGTTCGCCTGGAGACAAGGGCGCCAAAGAAATGACTTGGGCCGACGTTGAAGGCGAGGCATTGTTGGAACCCTTGGTTGACTTCAAGGACTTTGTCAAGGCCATCAAGGGTTCGCGGCCGACTGTGTCGCAAGTGGATCTGCAAAGGAATTCCGAGTGGACAAAGGAGTTTGGAAGTGAAGGAAACTGACACGTTGGAGAAAATCTTTTACTGCGGGAATACCAGGAAAGTAAGAGGGACAGACTGGTCCCGACGTGGCATGAGAATGGCGTTGGAGGCGTTGCAAACATCCTTTACCACCTTGTTCGAGTTGGCTAGGATTTTCAAGAGATGTCGTATACATTTGAAAAGAGGCTTGATCACCGTGTGCCTTGAAACAATCCTTGGTCTCTCTATACGTTGACAGTAAGCATGACTCTCAAGAAAATGTCTATTATGGCCCCGAGTACAAAGTGCAAAGCTCGCGGACCATCCCAAAAAAAAAAAAAAAAAAAAGGCAGCAGAGATGCACTCGAGGCCGTCCTACAAGTCTTGTCCAGAGCCGCAGAGCCAGTATTTGCGCAAGTCAAATCCAACAAGGATACATTTCCCAAAGCAGCCTGCCAGTTCATCCTTGTCCTGTTTTGGCCGCTCAAGAATGTGTTTGTTACACAAAAGAGGAATAAGCATGGACGAGACTATATAGCCATGGAAGTGGTGCAACCCAAGTTTGCATTTGCGCCGGCACGAGACTAGCGAAAATAAAATATTTTACTTTAATGATTTATATTATCTGTAGTTTATCCTGATTGGACTCGTGTCCGGCAAGTTCAAAGGGCAACAACCCACGTGGTAGCCGCTGGAAATTTCACTTCGCAAGTCATCTGGTGCAGTCATTTGGTTTACAAGGAGTGTGTATTCATCGTTGTAGAAATTCCGGACTTTCCAAACGACTATAAAGCTGCAGCAAAATTTCCTAAAAGTGCAAGCACATATTAAATCCCTATTCCAGTCTCATAATACGTAAATCATGAAAGAAAATGACTAGTGTCTCGGCAAGTCTATACTGCCGTAACCGTGTAGTTAAAGTTATCAATCAAGGTTGCGCCCAGAATTCCGACCGAGTAAGACGTGAGAATCACAACGTGATCAAGGGGAGCTTTGAATTGAGCATTGAGTTGAGCCTTGATCATATTTGCAGTGACGGCAACGGCTGGTCTGTAGATGAATGATTGGTATGCAATGACCTTGCTGGACTTGTCGTAGCCAGCAATGGCAAGTCTGCAGTCGGTAGGCGCCGCGACAAGAGTCAGAGCAGTTCCGGCGTTGCAGCCAAAGTAAAAGGAGTCAATGCTAAAGGAGGCAGTCTTGGAGCCCGAGTATTGAGTTTTAATGGTGGGAACGTTGCTCAGTACATTGGTGATTGCACCATATACCGCCACGTTTGGCTTGGAGTAAGCATTGACACCAAACAGGTTGTTTGTGCCAACCTTGACAACATCTAAAGAGCAAGAAGTAAGTATTTGCAATCCAATGGCAAATGGATGAATCGTGACGCACTAATCCCCGACCACTGCAATGCACCATAGTTGCCAATTGCCCTGGTAAGAGTGTTTCCACCAGCGACAAGAGTGTCAAAGGTTGCAACGGCATTGATGGTTTTGCCGGCTCTGGCTTCAAGATCACGATCCTCTAGTGCAAAGTCCTCGGGCTCCCGTGCCTGGAGCTGATTCAATTCGAATTCGCGCGCGACCAAAGGCATGGGCTCAGCCAGATCGCGAGGGTCAATGTCGGGCAGGGGACCGGCAATGGACACAGCTACTGACGAGGCCAAGAGGGCCAATGATGCAATGGACTTGAACATTTTTAAAAGGGGATTTTGGATTGTTATAGTGATCAAGATGGTGTCAGGCCAGTTATGCAAAAGACTTGAGTGTGTGTGCTGAGGATTTCTTGTGTTATTCTTACAAACACTGGGAGAGGACGTCTTATATACTCGTTTCTTGTTCTTGTCGAGAAGACAATAATAAAACCAAGCAGGTATTTCTCGTTCCATGACGGCACCATACTGCGGTGGAAAATGTCCCGCGGTATACATTCAGTGAAAAGGCGTTTTGAGTCAAGGTATAACTGGGACATGGCACCACTTGTTCGGTAGTCTGGCGCCTCTCCCGATACTTGACACTATATATTCCTTTTTTCCAATTCTTCAACTCGAGAGTAATTTGGTCTCTTGTACCTAGGTATTCGATAATGGGTGGTATGTGGAAGCGAATTATCCATAATGTGTATTACGATTTCTACATTTTGATCCACCCAATTACCATTGTTCTAACAAGTTCACTCTAGCCGGTGCACAACATACTTGACCATGATTTTGACATCGTCCATGTTGATAGGAGATTCATCATGTCTATTTTTCTAGCAGGGAAAACGCGACACGACTGAGTCATGACTTTTCTACAAGTTATAAGCCACGTAACCCGTCACCATGGTTTAGGTTGACTAGACGGTTCCAGTGTCAGCTATAATGCCTCTGGCGTCTAGATTTTGTGATCTTCACTTAGTGTCGTGCGTTTCACCGCATTGCCGGATCGCTTCCATGTTTCCAGCGATACAGAGAGCAAAGATGCCCCTTTCCCAGCTTTCTTTTGAGAATAAATTCCAAGTCTGCCCACTAGCCGGACATGTCTCATTCCTTGTACGACGGCCAAGCGGTTCGACGGCAGGCAACAACGCATTGTCAGAAATACCTCTATTCACGCGACAGATATCGCATAGCAGTTGATTCAAGACGTGGCCATTGGAACCGGCTTTGGGAGGAATAGGTGCCACCACCATGCTTGGCTGTTGATGATACATTGCTTCCACATCTTTCATTTCATAGCCTCATTTCAAAAATGGAGTCAATGTTGTGCTTGACAAATTGCACGTTGCTTACAATTGGAACGCGAATGCATCTTGTACCGAACACAAACAAATAAGTCCTGTATGAAATGCATTGTTCAAGCAACACCAGACGACTTTTGCAAACTTGGCAGCCTATACGGATCATATATCTAGTATTCAGCAAATGGCCATTGCAATGCGAGCACGAGAATTAGAGGGAAAAAAGAAAGTATCCAGTGTTTCACGGTTTTGCAACGGCGCAAACCTTTTAGACGTGTGCTGCCAACAACTTAAAGTTTTCGGCCGAGGTGACGCTCTTCCGCCAGATCGGTTATACCATGAGCTGAGTCGAAACACCGCCAGGTCTGGGTTTCCTTGTCAGGGCGCCTTGCTCCAACCATCTATACCAAGCTGCCGGATCTTGTCTGCCGCCAATACAGATGTAGTATAAGCCTTTCTTTTCAAGCTTCCATTCTCCAATGTGTGTTCCTTGTTCCACTCGAGGACCTCCATAGTCATTCCATCAAGAGTTGTCAAGACGCCGCGATATCCTAGCCCCCCTTCTCCAAGAGGTTTTGATGCCTCCGTGTTGCAAGACACCAGATGCGTACATATAGAGAACAAGCCTGGCTTCAAGTATCTTAGATCGCCCGTCATTTCCGGCATATACTTTCCGACAAATGGCAGCCTATATGGTAGCAACGAGTACCACTCGACAAGGTAAGATAGCAAAAGCATAAAAACAGGCTCAACAGGAACGTCCAGAAAGACGTGAATGGACAGAGTCTTGATTGTCATGTAGAGGTCACGGTACCTGATTGGCGGGTTCGGATCTGTCACACAATATGGTCTTCCTGCTTGGGGCGCATGTCTCACTGTCAAGGCGGCCTCATGCAAAAGATGTGCAACCGCAACATTGGCGCCGTGTACGAAACTCTGAACAATGTGATGGGCCCATCTGCTCGGGAGCATTCACTCCTTCAGCTTCGGTTCCGTAGACGCGGGGCAGATTTTGACTCACGTTGGTAAGACAGACCTAGCCAGAGGGTCTCCAACAGTATTATCAGTGGGGTTACCATAGACACCATTGACTGGACGAATACAACCAGTCTGAAAAGTGTCCGTATTCGCTTCGCAAACGATCCGTTCAGCTGCCGCCTTAGAGGCGGGATAGTTGCCAAAAAAGTCGCCATGCGGTCGCAACGGCTTGTAAAAGTCTCTCTCATCTAGCATCTGCCAGAAATTTTGGGGCGAACGCGCCCATGGTGCGACCCAGGGATTCACAGGTCGTATGGCAATGGACCCAGATGAAGTTGAACTGAAAATGTCCGCGCCAGCCTCCTTGGCGAGGTCCAAGACATTTTTCGTGCCGTCAACGTTGACCGCTTCTGGAAAGTCATACAAGAACCGCGACCTATCCGACGGAATAATGACAGCTGCAGTATGAAACACTGTAAGCGGGAGGCTAGCTACTGACGGGCGCCACGGCTTGTCAAAGGCTGCCTTGACAGAAGCCCGAGATGAAATGTTTGTAAGCACAAAGTCGACCTTGGTTGCCGGACCGGAAAGCATGTCGCTTCTCTCTGCCTTTCTGATATCGAGAATGCGGATGCTCTCGGGTGGCTGACCCCGCGCGAGCAATTGCAGAACAATGAATCCGCCGACAAGGCCTGCGATGGATCAATATCACTTTCGTACCCCATGCTCCGACAGTAAATCTCACCATTTCCTCCCGTAACGACATAGCGACGCTCTTGTCGGGCTGGTAACTGACCAGTATAGTCAATGGGCTTTTGGCAGAGTCTTGCACCAGTTTCTTTGAGCAAATCTGCTGTCCACGGCGAACCCGCGAGCTTCCGGATCTCATCTGGAGTACCTTTTAATAGTTGATTAATTCGCAAAAGGTATAAAAAAACGAAACCAGCCAACATGTAAATCACTGGGCGCACAACGTCGGCATATTGTTTTCCGGTCATGATGAACTCATCCAGAGCTACAAGTACAAAGGCAATGCATAAACAATCAAAGGGGGAAAAGTTGCAGAGTTTCTTACATGACAGCATGGAATCCTCGGTAAACTCCAAAAACACCCTCTTGTGACCTGGGTAATATCTTGTATACTTCCTAGCTGGGTTAGTGTCATTAAAACTTGGCAGTCACAAAGTCGGCAACAAAGTCTAGTTTAGACGGCTTTTGATTTCTAGCCTATTTCATCTACTAATACGGGGGTATAGGATCCTAAATGAGGATCAGTCGCATTCCATTTCAATTTATACATTTTTTTACACAATGCTTGATAGAAAGCACAGACATCCTCGTTCCTAAGGAGATCGGGCAATCTTTGATCGAGCCCGCATCCTTGGGCCAAAAAAGTATACAACATAAATGAGAGCTACCAGGCCAAAAGAGACAAAGCCAAGAGTGGCCATTGCCCACTTGCTGCTCATGTTTTCAAACATGGCGATACCTGTATAAATGAATTAGTCTCGAGTTCTCTCTTCACGAATCGATGCATTTTGAACTTACCAGCATGGGCCAAGGCAGCAGCAATCACAAACGAAGGAATAAGGAAAGCAGCAATGGCAGATCCGGCAACAGTCGTGTAGGCATCGGTGATGTAGTTCAACATGCTGAGCCACAGCAGAGGGTCGCAAAAGCCGAGAACACCACCGGCAACGACGGGCGACCAAAACGAAGTGTTGCCGTCGCAGGTAAAGGCGAACCAGAGGAGCGAGACGGGAAAGAGCCAGACGGTGACGAGAGACGTCAGGAAGCGTGCCTCTGGTCGGCCAATGCCACCATTCTTGAGACGGTCGCGCTTAAAGAGCCAGGTCTGGAGTGGGATAAACATGAACATGACCACGACACCTACAACAAAGTTGAGGTAGGTCAAGTCGGCACCAATATAGGACAGACCATTGTTGACGACAAACACATCAAACACTCCGTCCAGGTAGAGGAACAAGAGACCATAGGCAAACCCATTGTAAACACCGAGCAAAGTGACCATGGGCTCGGTGACCATGATGCGCAGAGCCATCAAGGTGACAAATCTGATTTCCTTGAAAACATTGACCTTTTCCTCGAGAACGGCAATCTCCTCGGGCTCGTCAAGGTTGCGCTTCTTGACCTCATTGCGAATCACAATGCTGGGCAGTGTTTCGGGAATGAAGCACATGATGACAACAAAAACAGCGGCAATAATGACGCTATTCAAAAGGTTAGCATGACTGGCATAGGTTATACGCATAAACACTTACTTGATCCAAAAGATCCAGGGTAGGCCCATGTTGACATTGTCTGCAATCCATTCTCCAACAGGAGATCCAATACTGGGACCAATGTTGGCGGATGCGACAAACAAGGCCATGGGTTGGCCGGCGCCATCTTCGCTGCCAAACAAGTCTGCAATAGTTCCTGCGACATTGCACAAGGCTACACTGCCAGTTGTTCCACTAAGGAATTGGAAAATGATGAGCATGGGCAGGTTCAGGGGCAGAGCACAGCCAATATTGACCAGTGCATAAAAGAAGATTGCGACGACATAGACCCATTTGCGGCCACCAATATCGCTGCATAAAAATGTTAGCACAATCCTCCGAAATCCATGGCCTGCTGCTACAAATCTTCTCCCCGCGAAATAAGTCAAGACGAGGGCTTGCTGTTGACAAGTACATACGATAGAGGTCCGAGGACAACGGGTCCTACGGCGGTTCCAAGGATAAACATGCTCTGTCCGAGAGCGACGATTTGCGTGTTCGAGACATTGAATTTCTCCTCAATCAAGAACTCGGCGCTCACATATGTCGTACTTGTCAGCGTGACAAATGTCTGCAGCATACAGTAAATGGTCGTAATGAGCCACTTCTTCCATAGAGGCCAGTGTGTAGGATGGCCAGGCTCGCTGGTCGTGATCCTGCGCAAGGCTGCGAGCGCAATGTCCTCGTCGCTGTAATTGTTTCCAGCCGTGTACTGGGCCTTTTCCCCCTCGGCGACCTCCTTGGGCCTGTCGGTAGATGATGCGTCCATGGCTCGTGTGTATGAGGGTAGCTGTAGGCGGTGTCCGTCGTCCGTGCCGTTGTTTGTGGCAGACTTTCGCTGACCTCCGAAGAAAAAAAGACACAACTGAACCAGGGAAACGGGTCAGTCTGGGAAAATTTTAGTCATGGCAGCAACAGTGTTCAAATATGGTCGTGACGGGTGGGTTCGTGAACCGAGTCGCGCCGATTCTATCAGTGGCCCCACCGGCTTGACTGGCATTATTAGGTACACGTTTGGTCGATCCAGACCAAGGGCACAAACTAGAATACAAATCCCAGGCAAGCCAGGCATGGCCGCGATAGGAAGCCGGCATCAGACGAGGGAGAGAGATAAGAAGCGCTGCCCATTCAAGAGAGAGCGTCGCGTCACGGAAAAGCCGCTCACACACGGCCTGGCTAGAGGTGTGTGTGGCCCGTGGGGGAAAGGGGAGATTGGATGGATGCATGGTTATTGCAGGGCATAACGATCATGGAATAGTGCAGGACGCATCGCATTCAGCTCTCTGTGCAAGCGAATCGGATTCTGGAACCGAGCCGTCAACCGACTCTGCAGACATGTATTGCCTGCTAGTCATTAGACCGTCGTGGGATCCATCCCTTCAGTCGTCTTGACCGCAAAGTCGCGTGCGCGTTGGTCATGAAAGCCAAAAAGATGGATCTCATATGCAAAGGGTTTTTACAGTGGCGTGTACTTGGTTCCGGACGAGCCCGAGCAACCGGATGACTGGGTCCTGCTTGGAGATTTTGAGTGGGCTCAGGGTCTTGCGAGAAAAAAAGTCTTTTGCCTCTAGTTTTTCATGCGGGTTGCAAAGAGTTGATTGTTACATAAAACCAAGAGAGGCCTATTCTGCTCACCTTGTCAAGAATGACTACAGAATGAAATGATTCTTTCAAATAATCAACTGGACATTACCTGTTGCGACCTTGAACATGATGGCTGCCAAGCCATGGCAATTGAGATCGTCCCGCATTCCCGTTATTGCTTGTTTCTCGCTTGGCGACTTGGCTGCAGAAGCCGGAGATATTTTCCCCGTTTGCCAAGCAAGCCATCGGCAGAGCGTTGAGGCTTGTGTGTCTCCTTGTGCAGTTTCTTACTGTTCCCAAGGAAAAAAGCCTCTTGGCACTGCCTTTGACGCTGCTATCCAAAAACACAATCAATGAATGTTTTCAGTGCGATTCTCAAGCGCTGTTGCTTATTGACTGAATCGCCTCCCTTTCTATCCTTGACATCCGTTACCTCGCATTTCGCGTAATGTCGGATTATTGGAGTCATTTATTAGCTCAGGCTTTCGCCTAGGCTGGGGCTACATTACGTGGTGCCATGTGTCTACCGAGGCCGTCTTGCGGGTACCTCGTGTAAGACGATCCCTTCAGGTTTAGCATTTCGTAGCTGCGGCAGCTACTCCAGAAATAGGACTGTCGCCGCTTACCTGGGAGATTCAACGGGCGCCGCCGACGTCCTATCAGCTGGCGCTCAACGCTGATGACGACGACGGCATTGATTCAGCAGACAGTCGAGTCTCCTATTTCAAAGTGATACCCATTGCCAAATAGCTTAAACTTTATCGTCCTAGCAAAGCACCAACTACAGTTTGGCTCACTGCTCGCTGATCAACCATGTCAAAATGAATCCTTTTGTGCGTCGTTGCACTTGCTAATACTCTAGAGTCAGATCAATACAATCCATACTACCGCATCCGAGACCGACATGCACTTGTGACCACCGAATCGGCCATCGACCTCTGCTGTCTGAGAAAGACTAGTATTCTTCAGTGTACTCTATAATTCCGCATCAATACGGACGCGTCAAATCGAGTGCTTTGCTGTTGATGTGGAAGATGGCACGGCAAAGGGAGCGGCTATCAAGTTGTAGTTATCCCCTCGCCATACCAATTCATTGGATGGACTCTTGTCCAAGCATACAAGACCAACGGTACCTTTTAGACAGCCATTCACTCAGACCGTCTCCATCATTTCACTCTGTGGATCCTTTGACACGAGAATCGACGCACGATATACCAGGAATGAAAATCGGGCATAAAAAACCACCGTGAGGCAATACTTCAATTCTTTTGGGCAAGGCTCGCTGCAACTAAACATTCCAATGGCTGCGCCTCGTCTTATAGATACATGTTACGGATGCTCGGTTGACGAAACTGAAAAGAGCTATACACGATTTGTATAAATTCCAGTCTCATCCGGTTGTCAATGACGCAGTTGTCGCCTTTAAAAGTCTCGAATCATCCGATTTTGCTCAAGGGCTGATGCGGGTTGCCGACGCGGGCAACGTTATCCGGCAGCCAAGCCCTTGCACCTCGTTAAAGAAGCACAATGCAAAGACATGAAATAAAAAGGTCGAGCAGTTCTTCAGATCCCAGAAATGTCAACTTGATAGCGCTACCAGGCATTCTAGACTTTTGTGATTGAAAGCCCAAGTTGTATCAGTAATCGTTCCATCATGCGTGTCGTTGTATTCGGGGCCTCCGGTGTCCAAGGTTTGTTATTGACACATTTACTAAACGCCAAGCTCACATGAACAGGTGCTGCTCAAGTGGCGGCGTTATCCCGCGCGGGACATGACCCCGTCGCCGTGAGCCGCAACCCCAAACCACTTGATATTGACGAAAAGTCCATAGAGACATTTGCTCTCGACTTTGACAATGCCCATGGACTTGATAAAGTCTTGGAACATGGGGAAATCATCTTTTTGAACCTCCCTTCCACATCCTTTCAAACCAGCGAACCCGTCATTGCGGCAGCCAAAAAGATTGGCGAGGCCGCCGCCAAGGCGAGCAATGTAAAGTTGATCGTTTTCAACACGAGCATGCCAGTACCCGACGAATCAAAGGGCATCAGGGCACAAGATGATCGCCGAGAAATACGGCGACTGCTTCGAGCTACCGGTATTCCCGTTATTTCCATTCAGCCCGTCGTGTTCTTGGAGAACTTGCTCGAGGGATGGGCCAGGCCGCCTCTTGTCGAGAGAGACACGATTGTCTATTGTCACCAAGAGAGTCTCGAGGTCTCTTGGATTTGCCATCACGATATAGCGCAGTTCATGATGGCAGCAATGAAGCGTCCCGATCTCGACGGAAGGAACTTTGCTGTTGCTGGTCCTGAAACAGTTTGCCTACCACAACTGACTGAAAAGCTGTCTCGAGCCTGGAACCGATCGCTCAAATACGAAAGCCAAACGGTGGATGACTTTTGCGAAAAAATCAGTCAGGCAATGAAGGATCGGTCCAGCCTCGATCTTGACCGTGTTGTTAGCGACATGCGAAAAGCCTATACCTATTACCGCGAGAGTGACGAGTTCAAACCAGACATGGAACAAGTACTCAAAGAGCTGCCCGTTGAGCTGACTCTCATTGAAGAGTGGGCAAGACTGCATCCCTTGCCATCACGTGCGTAACGCCGAGAGATTTTACTTGATCGTGAGGCACAGAACTCTTTGCAAAGCAAGCAAAGTACAGCCCATGAAGCAGTCCCGGCATCTAGGACGACTGCGGGGTTATCATGTCGTGATATATCGCCATCGACTCAAGGTTGCGGTCCTTGCCCTCGGGACTGATCTGATTGGTTATTAGGGCAAAATGAGAAGCGGTAACATGCTTTATGCACCAATCAAGTGGTTGCTCAAAATGTCATAGTATTCAGCCCGGCGTATTACAACCACAGATACTACATTCAATTTTCCCCTAATAGTTGTGCGAATCTCATGTATTATTCCTAGTTCAACTCGTATTTGGCAATCAACCCATCAAGCGACGAGCAAGTAAAATCATTGAATACGATCTTGTTCTTGAGAATGACTAGCAAATTCGCAGTCTACTACTATTTTTACTAAGAATTCATACACGATCTCTTGAATCGCTAATTGTTCTACAAAGGTCTTGGCCATCCCTCAGGATGCAGCACGTCATGACCAGCATTAAAGACCTCATGACAATATCCCATTTGTTTACTGCACACACCAAGCCATCAGCCGCGCTATTGCTGCGCCCAGCAGTGAGATTTTGAATCTGGACAGCCTTGGCATGTCTACTCATCTTGGCTCAACGTATGGACCAAACATGCAAATGTGGTAGATGGCACCAACATGCAACATCACTGGCCAATCAATCAAGACTTGGAGGTTCAAAGGGCTCTTTTGGAATCCAAAGCACTAGTTGAGAGATTTAGTTATTGCCCCCCACGATTCACAATACCCTCGGCCTCATCACACCACAGTCCGGCCTGGTATAAGACCATGGACAAGGCTCGAGTTGCAAGATTATTTACAAGTTTCACACCTCCAAACCTTTGAATCACTCGTGCTCTCCATAGTGTCGTCATGTCAACCATTCTCGTCAAGAACCATGTCGCCAAATTCCAACACGAGGGCTCGACAAGTTCATTAGATACAGCTGCCCCCTTGGGTGCGCCGCTAGAGGAGAGACGCTTCTTCTTTCAACGCAGGACGGCATACAACCCCGATGCGATAGCCACACAGGTAAGTAAAAAGGGTAATATTGACAAGCAGAATGCTAAACAAGTATAGCCAAGCGTTTTTGACGACCCAGAGACAGCGTTAAAGTACAGACCCCGAGATGACTGGGAGAATCTGCACCGATTCGACCCCTCAGCCCGATGGAGTTGGGCAGAAGAGTATAAATTGGTCCGAAAGATTGACTTGCATATCATGGTATGGGCTTGTATCATGTTCATGGCCCTGGAATTGGACCGGACAAACTGTAAGTAAATTTTGCTGCTCTTCAAGGATATTGTACTAAACATAGCTTCTCTAGTACAACAGGCTTTGACGGACAATTTTCTCAATGATTTAAAGCTTAAAACCAATGGCAAGTACTTAAAGGCGGCTGTATAACCAAGATTTGAGCTCATATCCGACAGATTACAACCTGGGAAACACTGTTTTCAAGCTTGCCTTTCTATGTGCAGAACTCCCATCACAGCTAGTTTCAAAGTGGATAGGCCCTGATCGATGGATTCCCGCTCAACTCATACTCTGGAGTATCGTCGCGAGTTGTCAATTCTGGTTAAAAGGCCGCGACTCATTCTTGGCTTGCCGTGCCTTGATTGGTATACTTCAGGGGGGTTTCATTCCCGAGTAGGTTTCAATGACCGTTGCGATTTGAGCATTTGCTTACATTTGAAAAGTGTTATTCTCTATCTTTCTTACTTTTACAAGCACCATGAGCTCAATCTACGGCTTGGATTCTTTTGGACCATGATGAGTGTTGCCGATATCTTGTCTGGGTTCCTCGCCTATGGATTCCTCCACACCAGAGGTCTACACGGCCAATCGGGATGGAGGTGGCTTTTCCTCTTCGAGGTACGTTCTACTCGCACCTCCAACGTCCAACACTACTAATTCCTTGTCATCAAGGGTATCCTGACATTGGTGGTTGGCGTCCTGTCTTTTGGTTTGATGCCTGCCGGGCCATGCCAGACAGTGAGTTGGTTTAGGGGAAAGCACGGATGGTTCAGTGAACGCGAAGAAACCATCATTGTGAATCGCATTATTCGTGAAGATCCGAGCAAGGGTTCCATGCATAATAGACAACCCATTACACCTCGCTTGCTTTGGAAGAGTCTCAAGGACTTTGATCTATGGCGAGTGATGCAGAGTATCGTCTACCTAGGCAATTCATGCTAATAGGTCACAGGCCCCTCTACATCATTGGACTATTGTTCCAGATCCCTGCGACACCCGAGGCGCAGTACCTTACGTGAGTTGCATATCTGATGGAAATATTTGGTCGTGGCTGACTCGAGGCAGATTATCTCTCAAGAACATGGGCTTTGACACGTTCCAGTCCAACTTGCTAGCAATCCCCTGGACAGTTGGTCATAGTGAGTAATGAATTGAATCAAGAGTGCCATGACTGACCAAATCTCAAGTCATAACCATGCTTTCCTTGACCTATGCAGCCGAAGTCTTTGGGGAGCTCACGTTAACCTCAATGCTCGGTCAAATTTGGCTCTTGCCGTTTCTCATTTACCTCAATGTGGCAGACACGGCCAAAACCAGTCGCTGGATCATTTGGACGGTGACCACTCTTTTGCTATCTTATCCCAATGGTATGTTGCCGCCTCCACTGATTGCCGAATAACGCCGTACTGAATTTCCCGTCAGCTCATGCCATACAAGTCGGATGGAACTCAAGAAACTCAAATACCGTCCGTTCCCGAACTGTCTCAGCTGCCTGCTACAACATGTTTGTACAGGCTGGGGGCATTATTTCATCCAATGTGTATCGATCTGGTCAGTATTCACCACCGTCTTACTTTACAGAAGCTCACATCTTTTCAGATGATGCACCTCTTTACCGCCGAGGCAACCGTGCGCTGATTGGCATTCTCGCTGGCAACATTGCCGTCTACCTAGCAACAAAAGCATATTATGTGTGGCGCAATAAATCTCGAGACTCTCAGTGGAATGCCATGTCCGATGAGGACAAGTTGCATTATCTCGAAACCACGACTGACGAAGGCAACAAGCGACTGGACTTCCGATTTCAGCATTAACTAGATTCTTAGGAAAACACGTATTAGAAGTATCGAGGTTAGTTGGACGCTCAAGGCGAATTTGACAATGTGTGGTATGCATCTCTATTGAACTCAAGCATCTCCTTAATGGAAACGAGCAATACGATGCGTGGGTCGCTTCAATCGCTCTACAGATTTGTTCCTTCTATGGAAAATGCAAATATATAATGGCTTCATCTCTGACCCTTGTCAACCTCCCGGCATTCAACAGGTCCTTGTCCTCATGGTCAAGACAGAGCACCGGTTTCCTCGGCAATCTCCAAGATATACTCAACCAGCGGAGTAATGTCTGTTGTTTTTAGCGGGACTCTATGACCTCCATCCCATTCCAAAACCCTCACTGTATCTCCGTCGCAATAATTCTCCAACAAGTCTCGATGAAGATTAATGTTGGGATCATATAATCCATGCACATGGATTGTGGGTAACCGCAGAATGTGGTCTTCGCTTGCGGCGTCCATAAGATCCGGCTGTCCACCAAGTGCTATCTGTGATGGTTCATGTAGCATAGTCGATGTGAATATTTCGGGATCAAATGAAACCAGCGGAGCGCGCCCTGCCATAAGAACCGCGAATTTCCATGCCGGCCCAGTCTTATCCACGCCAAGCTTTTCGATACGCTTTTGGTGCTTGAAAAGAAGGCTTGCGGCGAGCTTTGCGCCCTGACTGAAACCCAGCATTGCCACAAAGGGCCCGGTAGCACCTTTGCGGTCATCTTCATCCATGGCGGCCTTGATATTCCCCATAATGTCATTGACGGTAGTTTCATTGTCTCTTTCAGTGTGCTCTGGTAGCCAACGCAGCCAGCGTTTAAAGGGGCCATATTCTGCATACACAGAGACAACGTCCGGACCAGGCTGGCATTCGTACGGGGCTTCGGGATAGACGAACCGAAACTGCTGCTTTAATGCGCGCTCAATAACACGACATTGGGCTTTGAAGATGCGCGCATTTGTACCGCCACCGTGGAGGCATAGCATGCGCGGCAAATCAAGATTTTCCTCCTTATCGGCCATGGTGACTTGGCTGATAGTCGCTGCTCTTCTCTGCTTCTTGATACACGTGTCCCTCGAAACAAGAGTTTTCTTGATGATCAAATGGTGAATGCTTTGAACTCTAGGAAATCAGACAAATATTACTGTCGCAAATGATCAGATTTCTTCATGAGATGGATTGAGAAAGGAAAAGAGATGCAACACCAGCGGATCCTCTAATGGATTTCGGACCCCGAAAGATTCTTGGACGCCCAAGACCTCTGGAGTCTGGACCTTCCCGATGGGATGACCAGCCAATTGTGGGCTGCATGCGCGCCGGACTTCGCCAACCGGGGCTCGACGCTTGGGCTGCGTATGCGAGTGTACCTTTCGCAGTCAACATACCTACATACTGCACCTATGACAGTGCCAGTTGGTTAGACAATTGAGTGGGCTCAGTCGCCTTCCATTGACTAAATATAGGATTAAAGACTATGCGCTGCGAGTGTCTCAAGTGTTTTTTACAATACGCGGGGCACTTTCTGCGCTATTATTGTACTATGTAGGTGGCACGATACGGTAGAGGCAAAGGGTCCGCAAGTGGGCTAGCCATTGATACAGTGCTTGCGGTGCAATACAAAGGGCTACCTCTTGGATAGACTGTTGGCCCATCACATCCATCTATTCAGCGGTGACAGTGCCTTTGATGCCAGGACCAGTGCCGCCGTGCCTCATCACGGCAGTCAGGAATCACATGGTAGACCAAGTTCTTGGCTGTTTTGTAGCCAACACCTTGATTGGCGCCTGGTGTTTGATAAATCTTGGCTGAACACTTTATTGAATAATCCATCTTGTGTGCTATGCGTTCTTACAAATCATCAAAACAATTCTCGTGACCAAGGAGGCTATTGTATATGGACAGCTCAAATCTTCAACAAGCTCTCGAATGAGACAGAATGCTGGTTCCAAAGTTTTTCTTTTTTATTCCGGAATCAAGACAAAACCATAAAGCCCAGCGCCCATACTCTGCTCTACACGTCCAGGTCGGATTGCCTTAGTCCTTTGCGACTAGGTAGCAAGCCCAGAGTCATAAAACTTGATCATCGTACCTCGTAATGTGCGGCTGTAGTACCATGCAAGTGATCTCCGAGCTCAATCTTCAGTCCTTGTGTCGCACAACACAGACACTTGGCTGCCATGAGTTCCTGATCCCACGTACTGTTCTGGGGTCTGGGAGACCTAAATCTAGATCAAGCTCGCACCGGGAAACGAATCGTCATTGGGATCGAAACCAAGAATTATGGCCATGATCCAACGCACCTCTTTTACCAGGGCCATGACTGTGCATTGTAGCAACTCATCCCAGAGGCTCTCCAAGTATGGAAGACACAAGAACTTGGCCTATAGTTGGCAAGGGACTCCCAAACGTCAGGCCTGGAGGGTCGTTGACGTGACCACTTGTTCCGCCTAGCAAGAGTAGACAGAAACGACGGAATTTTCCAAGGCCAAACATAATCCTTTATTTCCGCTAAGTGGCAATCAGGGTTGTATCCAAGTCTGGTCCCAACATGACGAGTCCATATCCGTCATGTATTTGCTCACACGGTCCATCATCCAGCCCGAATTCACCTGCATTGGTGCAGCCGAGCTCTTCTGGCCAAGTTTGATGATCTTGGAGGTGCTGCAAGTCTCCCCCTTTATCGTAAACTGCATGCATTCATTGTCGGCCTGGCAGAGGGACCGACACTCCTCCAAAGAACTGCTTTCATCCCGGACTTCATTTGACAGGTTATCCCAATCGGCTTTTAGTGGCATCATCTGGGGGAACAGGTATTGGCGGAAAATGTCTTTATGTCGCAGAGTCCGACCATTCTATCACAAGTTTAGTCCTGAATTATACAATAACAATTAGAATTGAAATACTTACCAATTCCTTCCATGCATTCTCAAACTCGTGAAGCTGGACCATGTCGGCTGGCGTCATGTGGTGGTAACTCGAAGCATAATTGCACCACAAGTGCATATCGTCACCTGCGAAATCGTCGCCAAAGTCCATGTCGTTTGGCTTCTCGCCATACAGGTTCGGCCATGACCATTGCAGATTGATACCAGCATCCTTGGCTACAATGCCAAGCACACAGTCGCCAGCCCAGTGATCTCCCGTAAGCAGGTCATAGTACTTTCTCTTCAGCTTGTATTGCTTCACAACCATTCTCAAGGCTGTATTGGACAAGACAAAGCCGGCGCCGCCATAGGCAAAGACATCGTCACCAATCTGCATCTGCACTCCAAGATAGTAGGGATACTGCTCCCAAAAGTGGCCCAGCCAAAGGAGAAGCTGCGACCACATGATGTAGGTATCCGTCTCCATAAAGACAAACCACTTGGCGTCGGGCATTTGCTTCAAAGCCTTTTCGGCCACTTGGAGAAACTTCCACTTGTCCAGCCTCCAGCCAGGGCTGTCGCGCCCAAAAACACTATTCTGTGCATGTTTCCACTCTTCAACCTCCTCGGCCGAAAAGGCGCCTGTACCGCCCTTTTTCAAGTTCTGGTAATACACGAAATCAGGGTGTGTCGCGACGATTTCGGGGTTGATCTTGTCGAGGGCATCATAGACATGGTGGCCGGCAACGGTCTCTTCTAGATCCGAGTAGATGGCATAGTTGGGGACACACTGCAGTGTAGTGGCGAAATGGACTGGCAGTTTCTCGTGGGCCTCGTTGGCGCCAGTCTTTAGGACGACAAAAATGTCTTCCAAGCCTTGTATCTGGGCGCATACGGGGGGTCGTGGGCGGAATAACTTCTTGATCGGATTGAGGTGGTCGTCGCTTTGTTGTTGGACAGCGATTGTGTCTCGGATACTAATAATGTGGTATAAAAGCAAAATAGCAGAGACTGCGCCCAGCATCCGCCAGTATAGGCGATAGCGACTGAGGGGGGAGATTAGCCCCATTGGAGTCGAGAAAGGAGCGTACAAGAGAGCAATCAACTATCAACCATTGTCTTCGAGAAGTGAGAGGCTCAAAAATCGCAAGAGGGACAAGAAAAGAGTGAGCAGCTTCATTGATCGATCCGTCCCATCGTGTGCGGATCCAGGCCACTGATATGGCAATATACGTAGTGCCTCACCCCGAAAGGAGATGCCACATTCAGGCCCTGGCCCCTACTTACCCTGTGGTTGCTAGTGGCAGATGTGTGCTAAGAACGGATCAAGCATCGCTTACGACGCAGCAATGGCATGTTCGTCATTCTACACTAGGGGACTGACTTTGCCCGGTCCTGTGGGTGGACGATTCATTAGTGGGCTTATTTATCAATATACAACAGGGGTGATGATCTTTTTTTTTTTTCCCCCCTCCCCCCGGCCTACGGAATAGTAGATACCACTGATAGTACCCTCATGTGTAGCCCGCCAAGCCCCTGAACTCGAGGACGCGCACGTTTACTACCAGTCTGCTTCGTGGGGGTGGGTGGACGACGGGATTGGCGGGGCGGCAAATCAGCTTGGTAACCTGGAAACCATGGCAAGAAATATTGATTTCACATAACACTCCCTGGTGCGGCACCACATCAATATAGTAGCTTTGGTTTCAAGACATGTCCTTGATTCTAGGTATAGAAAGGTATAATCGTACACAAAATATAGTTTCACTCAAGAGGTAGAGCCTTCTGCATTTAACTTTGCTACCGCCGACTTCCTTCACCCTTTTGAGCTTCCCGCCTTACCAGGCAAAAGTACACCAGACGCTGTTTACCGAAAGCACGTGGAGCTCTGCGCGGTTCGTGAACTCATGAGCTCTAGAGCTCCTCTAGAAGCCCCCAAAGCTACATGGGATACCCGCCCTCACTCCACTAAACAAGGACGATCGCAAGTCTTTGAGCGATCAAATCCATCCCCTCAGCCCCCCGTCTGACCCATTCGAATCCCTGGCGCCCTGCCACCCTGCGTAAGCGAAAGACCACATCTCGTCTATCCAAAGCCGCAACCAGTGCAACCCACATGGTTGTCTGCCGTCACTAAATCAGGTGCGGATCAGTGTGGGCGAATGAATTCATCGTCCTAGCGTTCAATGGGCGAGGAATCCCTTGCCAGAAGGTCGTCTTGGATTACCATCGCCGTCTGATCTAAAGACAAGGCAGCGCAATCACGTCTCACAGAGGACAGAAACGAATGCTTTGCTTCGCAACAGCTAGGTAGCCGTCCATTAATTTTATCAGGCCATCTATCTCTTTCGCTGTGTTGCGAATGAAATGATTCAAGTTCAGAGGCCACGTCAATCTACTGGCTGGGCACGGTCAAAACCCCGCCCGTCGGAGAGCATGTCCTCTTGGTTGCAATCATTGGAGGATACATCATTCTGGTTCGGCCCTTGCTTCTTGTTCTCGGCCAAAACCAAACACGCCAATGTGCTCATGGCAGCTTGTGATGGCGTTTTGCCATTGGCCAAATAGACATCTACAACGGTAGTGGGCTGGTACCGACCATCTTTGCGGTATCCAAGATCTTGTCCCCGTTTCAGATATTCCAAAGCTTAATCCAGGCCTGCCTATTTTGGGAGAGCTCGGATTCCAGGTACCAAACAGTCTTGTTATCACAAGTGCCCGCGATAGCAACAAAAGACAACATGCCCGTGACACCTGCGGTGCAACTGACTGGGCACTTTCTTGGCAGCTGCATCTCCCACCTTCTAATAACATATCCAAGCATGTGGGAAACAAATCCCAGGCGGGCGATCGCCTCCGGACCGAAGCATCATGACAAGCGATACGATAGCAATGTTGCAATGAGTGAGACGTGTTTGCTTAAGCGAATGGGATGGCGATTTGCCAATCAAAACCTATATTACTTTGATAGACTATATTCCGTTATTTGAGAATACAACTCCTCTCAAGCCAGTTAGAAGCTGCTGTGGTTTTGGGAAATACGATCAATCCATTGTAGAAATCGTAGCTTCAAATTTTAAAGGGCGTCAACTACCTTCAAAATCTGTCACAGAAAGACGTAATTGGGAACCATGAAACGCTCAGAAAACCAAATTCGTGCAATTGGTCTGGAATTTGCAAGTAGATGCGACGACTATTTACACTGCTTTAATGTGGAGTCGAGTATACAAAACTCGACGGCTCAGCCTGGCATGGCAAGAATGTCCGCTAGATTTGTAGTAATCTCAAGACCACTAGCTTTTGTCCTGGCTGCGAGTTCGCGTACTCACGAGGTCGCCTTGTTCTCTTGGCGCAGACTCCTTCCTCGTTTTCAAAGACGTCTTTGCATTGGTGTCTTCGTGATTGGTGGCATCGTTGGAGTCGTGATTCTGTTCCCCTGATTTCTTGGACTTGGTGGATTTTCCGGTATCAACCGCAGAGTCTTCGCTCGCTGCTTCACCATCGTCATCGTCCTTGGCCTCTTCATCTTCCTCACTGGCCTCCTCCTCCTCGTCATCTTTATAAACATCTTCGTCCCCATCATCATCGTCTTGATCCTTTTCTGCACCATTCTTGGCCTTCATGTCATTGTCTTCATCAACATTTTCTTGCTCTTTCTTTTGTTTCTTGTTGGCTTGCTTGCCACCCTTCTTGACTTCCTTTCCTTCCATGTTCTTGGTGTGAGGGTCTTTGGTATCATCATTCTTGCGGTCCTCGTCTGATCCACCGTCCTCCTCATCCTCGTCAACCTCTTGGCTCCCTGCCTTGCGCTTCTCGCCATGATCCTTCTCGGAACTTTCTTGCTGTTTACCATTTGAGGAATTCTTTTGTTCAATGGTGAGCTCAGAGGCTCTTTTGACCACATCATTCCCAGAGCGCTCCACATGGACCGCGGGATTGTCTGGAGATGCATTCTTCTTGATGGTATTGCCGCGCTTAGACTTGATCGCAATCTCGCCGTCATGCTTGGTTTCGGCGACCGTTCCGCCAGGAGCACCTCCTCCCCAGCTCCAGCTGACTGCGATACATTAGATCTTAGTACAAGTACACTGGAGATGTGCGCTCGTGACTATGCCTGGTGGTCTACTGTACGCGCCACAATGTGAATATCTTACCTTTGTCACCCTTCTCAGGTTCACTTCCAGCCATGATGGACGATCGTGTGAAATCTTACAAAGATTGGCGGTTGATGCAAATTCCGCGATGATAATCGTTTGGGCGCACCAAAAAACAATCGGACAAGTCGTGCAAAGGCAGGGCAATCTTGGTTTTGGACAGTCAATTTTCCTCAACTCCAATTGCGACGAGGCAGTTCTTATTGACCTTTATCAGCCGCTGACGCGGCTGATGCAATTAGACGTCCTTGTCGCGTTCCTTGCGCATCCGAGAGTCATTACATCATATCGATGAATCATTACTGCTCTAGCGGAGGTTTAGTTCTCTGGAGAACCCCGCGGCCCCTGCGTTTCTAGCCCTTCTTTACGACATGTAGTGACGGTCGCCAGATCAGAGTAAATAGATTGCAAGAAACACGATTTATACGTTCCGAGTCGATCGTAATGTGATTCAGCATCTTTTACAGTCTGCGGCCAGAAATTGGCCTTATTATGTTTCTACCAAAACCCACTTGCACTGCTTGGCATCTTACTCACAGCAAGCATAGAACCAGTTTTCCCCCATACTTTGAACTGAATTCTGCCAAACTTAGACAAATGGGTTGATCTAACACTAGTTTTTTTCTTGCAGGCCCGTGGTACATGTCACCAGAGTCGGTTGCTTTACGCCATTGCGTACTGCAAACCTTTTACTCAGCCACCCAAGGAGTCTTTCGCATTTACCGGACCGCAGCCTACCGTGAATTGTAGCACTTTGCTCATTGCCCTTCTAGCTCGATTATATTAATCAAGACATATCACTTTCTAGTCCCCATGATATTGAGGTATATCACCATGTTATCACTGCGATAGGGGCAACTCCAGGAGTACACCAACGAAGAGTATAATTCTTCTAGAATAGATAAGCCTTGGAAAATGGTTGAATAGTAACACCAGTCAGCCCAAAGCTCTGGGACGAAAGCCCAGAATAAACAGCCGGGTAAGTTGCCTTCATCCTATTTAATAAGGAAGAAGCTAGCTCAACTTCAATCAAATTGGTCCCATTTTTCAACCATTTACTTATATCAAAGTTCAGTTCCATCTGGTCCAATGGTGGAACAGATATGCCGTTTAGTTTCATACGGAATGAGCCATTGAATTTTGCAAACTTTACATAGTAACCAGTAGTGTTCTTTTCTGTAATTGTGGAAAATGTTGCAGAATATGTAGCGTTTCCAGAGGTGTCGAGGAGTTCAGGGATTAATGTCCAAGGCTGCAAAGCTTGTAGCTGGAGTTCATGACGGATCTTTTTCGTAGAGGTAAAGTCGCCATTCGCATCTTCTGGTTGCCAATCATCAACTACCAATGTCCAGTTACTCAGTTCCAAGGCTTGTCCTGGGTCATCCATTGTAAAGGTTTTCAATGTACCATCCTGTAGTTGTGCCTGGAAGGTCCCGCCAGCGGTGCTATGAGCAATCAATTGTTCCCCTGATTCGTCTCGTGCTAGTGATTCTACCGTCATGTTTGTAGCATGAAGGACATCATAAGGCACTGGCACTATCGCAATCAAGGTCGATTGTAGCGACTGGAGTTGTATTGGAAAGCTCAACCGTCCTTGCGTGATGGAGTACAGTGGCAAGACGGTGGCGTTGCCGGTCCACGGATCCAGTTGCACAGGCGCGACCAGGGAGCTTCGTATAGGGACTGAAACTGTCTGCTGTACTACTTCCGATGATGAATTACAGACGAAATAGTACATGTCGAAAGCATCAAACTCGCGCTTGATGTGAGTCAAATGTGAAGATTCATATTGTGTCGCGGGTGAAACTCCAAGTTGTGCAAGTCCAGACGCGATATCATTTCTGTCAACATTTGCCACATTGTCGAGCTTTAACATCTTTTTGATAAAAGTCGCCACAGACGTCGAGTTGATGGATCCTAGGCCAAAAGGTCGAGGAGATGACCAGTTGCCAATCAAAAGTATAGGCAGTCCAGACTCTGCATAATGCTCTAGCAGAGACGCCGTGCCAACGGTGAGTGTTGGAGCGTACCCGGCGAGCGCGTCACCGTCTACAGCAAGAACACTATAGTTTCCCGCACCTGGTGCAAGTCTTTGACCAGACACGGTCGCTTTCGGCAGATTGAGAACGCCATAGTCCACATATGTAGTTGTCCAGCCCAAGTTTGCTCCATCACTCGTGAAATACGGGCCAACATACGAGTCCTGTGCATGACCATTCTGGCGAAAGAAGGCACAATCATATTTGGCCACACCCATCCGTGCAAAGTACTGCGTTCGGCCCAGATATCCGGTAAAGTCTCCTGCGTGAAGCCAGGTGGGATGGCGAGGGCCCCAACTTTCAGAGTACCCGACGACACCATTGATGGGCGTAAAGGCTGCCCATCCCGGCCATGTTGCATTGGGTCCCCGAATGTATGAAAATCCGTGGAGCACATTCCGAGTGACCCCAGCAGCAAACTCTGGATTGACAGTACCAAGAATCTTTCTCCAGCTCGTGGCATACGCTCCTTTGGAATACGCCCCCAACTCGTTTGACAAAACATTCAAGCCAGCCATGTTTGTTGCTCCTGCAAGTGTTCTGTATTGGTCGAGTACCTTGAACCCAAGAGACTCGCCTTCCGGGATGTCGAGTCCTGTTGCCAGTCTCATGCTATCCAGACCTAGGATACCATACACCTGTGCTCTGTACAGTAAACCGCGATCTCCAAGCCATTTCTTAATCGGCTTGACATGGTAATCCTGGTACAGGTCGCTGAGTGTATCTGCATAGTCGTGTAATGCTCCCTCCCGGACTGCATCATCTGGGAAGAGAAAAAGGTATGCATTGTTTTTATACTTGGTGACAATAGGGAGGACAGTCCTAATGTCATAGCCACGACGCTGTTCAAATTCTTTCATGTAGTTGGTTGTCCAATAATTGGCACTCACCATTTCCAAAGAGTCCTCAAACAGTGCCGTTGGTCCCACTGCTAAGAGTGACTGGACTTCCGCTGCAAGTATGTTGACATCCCAGTAGTCTAGAACAGAATTACAACCCAGAGTGCCGAAATGATCCACAACATATGTTGCCGAGTTGGTATGTGGATAGTCCTCTGGCTGTTGGCCTGTACCGCGGACAAAGGCCGAGTATATAAGCCACGTTGAGTTGTCCGGGGGGTCAAATTCAATTTTGCCGTCCACCACGCTAGCTGTCAAATCCATCATGGAGCCGTACTCGAGGTAGACTGGGTTCGACGTGGAATTGCTGCGCTGATCCAACCGCCAGGCCTGTACCGCGACTAGTGTCTGAATAGTGACATTTCCTTTTGGGTTTGAGAATGGCGGGGGAACCGGGCCGGCAAAAGTCGATGCTGTGACAAAGGACTTTCCAAACACAATCTCCTTGGCGGCTGCGTCATCATCAGCACCAATAGATTGGGAACCCATTGGCCAGCTGGGACCAAACGCAGTGTCATGACCGAGGCCGAGTTTGTTCGCCTCCTCCAGAGCCGCTGTAAAGGCTGTAAGCCACGGCTCCGAACCCCAGCCGTGCGTGGTGCTCTCATAATCGATTCCCTCGGCGAGACTGTGATGAACATCCTCAATCTCGAATCCCCCAAAACCCGCCTCGGCAATCTGCACTACCTCGGCGCGGATCTCGTCTGGGTCGACGACACCGTGTGGCCACCACCATCGAATGTAGGGCCTGTCAGTCGTTGGCGGAGATGCAAAACCCTCGAGAAAGGCTGAAAATTGTGACGATGCCCCCAAGAGGCTGACCACAGCTGAAGCCACCTGTGCGCAAGTTAATTGTATAATTCAAACACCTTTCTTTGAAATAATTCCTTACCATAGTATCGAGCAGACCAATATTCAGATGCAAAAGTTGATGGTCTGAAATCAAGCTTTCCAGCAGTCTATAGGTAAGCTGTTTACTTGATAAACGAAATCGTTTTCAAGCCTCATATATATTCGTCTTTATGGCTAGCTCCTTATTGGTGGGAATGGTTGGCAGTCTGCATCGCTGGGAGAAAGGTGCAATACTCTCGTCGTTTCGTTGCATCTCGAGCCGCAATCTTGCACCACCATTGGCCTTGAGGCGGGGCCGTGTGGTCAAGATTTCGTCAATGGCCCCTGGATTTCGGTCATTCTCTGTGTACGATCTCATCGACTTGAAGATTCCACAATAATAAACCTATCCTAGTGCTTCTGCGCATGTTTTTAATTGTGTGCATGGCTATAGAGGTTCCTCGTGACTGTGAAATGTAATCATGACACATCTTGAGTCATTTTCTATATATACACGAAATACAGGACCTTTTCATCCTGCGCTTCAAGGCTTCAGCGCTCACACAAAGCCTCGGGGTGTAATAGATGAGTTTTCAAACATTATCTCCCATGTCGGGGATCGTGCCTAAGCCCAGTTCTCAAACCATCTAACAGCTTGGAAAAAGGCAGACTCCTTGCCAAATTTCTGCTGCGGGTCGCTGACATTAGCCCGGACACCGAACCCATGGCTTGTCCCACTATATAGAGCGACATTGTAGGGCTGCGTCGTATTACCCAAAAGCGCTGTAATATTGTGTCTGCGCTCTGGTGGCATCATGCTGTCGTTTTCAGCGGCCGCCATGGCGACGGGACCCTCAATCGCCAGAATCTCGCTGTCCTCTAGAAGCGATGGATGTGCAGCAAAGCTGGCGTCTACACCCTTGCCTGAGGCTGCGTACCGGAAGGCGTAGCGACCTCCAAAGCAGTAGCCAGTGGCCTGCGTAGAATGGCAAATCAGTTTTCACGCCGCTGTCATGATCCATCTTGCTCATGTGAGCTAGAAGCATTTCTTACCACAATCTTTGTTACTCCAACCGTCTCCTTGAGGTAATTGACTGCAACGTCGATAAGAGGATCCGTCGTCTCGGGACCGTGCTCTGCAAGAAACTCTGTAATGTTGAAACCGGGCTCATTCATGTCCAGCGGCGAAGGCGTGCCATTAAACAAATCAGGAGCAACGGTCAAGAAACCGGCGCGGCCAAATGAATCCGCAAGTCTATCTTGTTCATTAGACAAGAGTACTCTCAACTGGGCGTAATGGACAAGGAAATGGCCGCTCACAGTCTGTTCTGCGTCAAGTTTATGCCATAGACGTCTGTCAAATACAAGACTGCCGTGTCGGATACATTTCCGGTAATGTAAAGGTTTACTTGTATCTCGTTAGTCGAGATCTGTGGTAGTTGCTCAACACAAACGAGAATGCAATCGTCATACCTCCATCATGTACCTCTTCACGTCCGACCGAGTCCCCCTCATGGGCAATGACCGATACATCATCGACTGGGCACTTGGCTGCACATAGACCAACGACGGCCAAGAAATATAAGAGTGTAGCTTGTACGTGCATTGTTGCGATGGACAATGAAGGCGTCGGCTGGCCACACAGAGGATGAACAGTTTGTTCCTACTTTTATTTATACCAGAAAACACGGGGATTCAATTTTCAGGTTTTTCAAGTCTTGCGCGCATTGCGACCGGGAAGCTCCCTTATCCAAAAGCCTAAATCCGAGGTCAAGCCCGAGCAGGACTCTGGGCAAAATACAACATGGGCTGGAGACCTCCAAGCCAATACTGGGACAGTATCATCGTGCGCGTAGGCCAAGGATACCCACCTTGCAACGTTGACGGGGCACGTCCACCAATAGAGCCACCACGTCGATTGCGGGGTGGGCAAGTATAACGTTTCTCTAGTTGCTTTTCGCTTAGTGAGGACCCCTGAACACATTTTCCAAGAGCCGAGAGGTATGGAGGTGGCTGGCCCGTGTTCTGTCTTTGTCAAGATTTGTCATGCGGATGAACACAGAAACCTTTCACAGTTGATCGGGGCATGTGTAATCCCTAGTCTTTAACGCAAATAGAAAAGTACAAAGCAGAGATTGACGCGCCACCAAAAACCATTGGCAGATGGTATTCTTCCCAGATTTGATCCTCTAATCCTACTACCGTCATGTCAAATCATGGTGCCTTGGACTTGTGCTTGCTTCACTATCAAGCACTTTTCGCCAGCCGGAAAAGGTAATTTCTCACGCCAACAATTGTATCTTTTAATGTTGGCTTGGAGAATTCCAAAGATTCCGCGGCTTTGCTACCATCAGCCTTCCAGTGGTTGCTACGATGACCTGGATTACCCGTGGGCACTCTGCTCTTGCTATCTTCATCAAGATCTGATGAAATCAGGTAGTCACAGAGTTCCTGGTTCTCATAAGCACCATTGACGACCAGAAACCGCTCTCCACCGGCCTTTGAGGACGAGAGCGCAGAGATCTGGGCCTCGGCAAGTGACGTGACTGCTGTCCATACTAGTTGTTTCGTGTCAGGCTTGGGGTTTACTGCAACAAGACAAATATTCACTTACTCGGTACTGTAGTCTGCGGAACATCCTTCTTATCAAACATATCCCAAAGAGCCGCGTTAGTCTGGGCGAGCTCCTGAACGGTGCCGACTGAGCCATCAACAGGAGCGCCAAAGACAATGCCGGGACAAATCGTGACCAAATCCCACTTGCTCTGTTCTCTGCACAATTTCCTCACTTCGCGCTCAGCCAGCGCCTTGCTACCCTGATATGAAAGCATCAACTCGGGAGCTTTGCTGGCTTGTTCATACGTTGTCGGATTCCAGTCATCCTCTGTATATACCTTGCTAGGCAGTGATCCCGATGGCGATGGGTCAAAAACGGCCGCAAAGCTGCTGCAGTATACTAACCTGGTCACGCTCTCATTCGCGTCAGCCGCATGGCAAATGGCCTGAATCCCTAAACGGTGGTTAGTTGTTCTTGCTTGTTTACATGGGAGTCAACTCAAAAGTCCAAAATCCGTGTCCAGGTCACAACACTTTTCAGCGAGGAAAGAAACATTATTGAATACTGACCTGGACACATTGGAGAGCCGGGAGAACCAAGTCGTTTTCAAAGTCTGAGCCTGTCGTCATTGGAGGTGCTGCTAGATGGATAATAGCATGGCAATGCTGAGCTGCCTGTACAAAGGCGTCGGCCCTGGTAATGTCTGGCACCACGTGCATCGTGAGTCGCGGGTGGTTGCGATGGACTGCTTGCAGGTGTGCGGACATTTGCGAACTCTGCACGGTAGCTTCTACTTGATGCGGCGTCTTTTCGAGGAGCTCCCGGACGACATGATGACCGATGAAGCCATTGCCGCCAGTCACAAGCACCCGACCTTTGCGCTGAGGGTCCACTGGAGCCATTATATCTGCTCGGATATGCCCACGTAGGATTCGATACCTGTGTAGGTACAGACGGTGCGTATTTCGTGTCAATTACCAAGTATCAGATTAAAGCAAAAAACAAAAAAGTCCAAAAGTCATTTGCCGTTCATGTGCATACATTGACCTATTACGAAAGCATGTTCTCTACTTGCAAATAATGTTGGCAGGAGCTGATTTCTTGGCCAGGAACAAAGCGTCCGCCCGTGGGGTCGCGCTGGTGGAGACTGGAACCAACCATGTGGCAGAAGAGGTGGGCTAACGACATCATCGATGTTGACATTTACCACTACTAGCGCAAAGTGTGCACATTGGATCAGATTAGAGATCGGAACTCGTCAGGCTATCAATGGTTATGTACCTAGTTCATGGATGCGCGGATCTTATTCCTTCAAACATGATATTGCGTGCTACTCTACGCTCTGCAATTGGGATATTCTAATCTCGAGAATTCATGCCCGAGAATGTAGTATCTTTGAGGAATTGCCCTTCTGTAGGCATGCTACGAAATACCATCTTATATTATCCGTGGCCTCAAACCACATGAGCAGCTTGATGGCGATCCCGCAGCGTCAAATGGCGCCTAATTGCTTTCCCCCTTGTCTGAGAAAGGCACACACAGTACGACCTGCCGTTGTTCCCAAACTTGATACTTCAATCCGACCCGAGACAAGTACAAATTCGGAGAGCGTCTCAAGGTCTAATTCCTCAATCCCCTTTTCAATATGCGCAAAGATGCGTTCCTACGTTGCCGAATTCCGGAAACTAGCGACGACTTACCAAAGAGGTAAATACCTCCTACCGTGCCTAGTTGCCCACGATTAGGAGAGATATCAATAGACAACTCTACATGTGCACGCGACCAGGCATGTGGTAGTATTGGGTCCAGTCTAGACAACAGACTGGACCCTGATAGACGCAGGGATCTATTATTTGCTCGCGGCGACAGAATTTCCGTTTTCAAGTTGTCGAATTTTGCGAGCTCTTCCATTAGCTGGTGGGGGCAGTAGATGGTCGGCGGGCACAATTCTAGCGGTCCCTTCAGGTGGGACTTGACATGACCTTCCGGAATCAGTGCGGCCTCTCGCTCCAGTGGGAAGAGGGCCGCCCTCAATAATAGCATGCATGCATCGAGCGCTCGATAGTCATACCCGAGGCCAAGGTTCGATTCTTCTGTCTGCTTGACGAGCCATTCTCGTGTGCGAAGCACTACAAGATAAAGCCTTTAGCGGAAAGCCATGACTGAACGAGAGAGAAAAGGAGAGACATGAACATGTGTCCTGTTCCGAGTTACTGTATCACCCTACTCGGCATCGTACATTATTTCTCTCCTTTTCCCCTACTCTTGGGCTGCTCTCGACCCCTCGCCTACCTAGCTCATCAATAGAGTGTCAAGTTGAAATTAAGATTTCATGTGGTACCGACCTATAATTAAGCGTAACGGCAGGCTCCACGGCAAATTCGGCTGGGACGGGTCTGGTGCTCGAGGCTTGAAGCTACCACACCCTTCTCAGCACATTCGGGGCACATTTTCCGAAAGGCCCCCCTGGCTGAGCCATGAGCTACCCCAGAATCTGGGCTGCGCTTTCACTCAAACGAGTGAATTGGCGTTCAGCACTTGCAGGGCTAGGGCCGCATCAAGCAGAGACATGCGTCGGGTTTGTCTTTTTCTCTGACCATTTTTCATTGAGACAATGTCTGTCATGGATTTCTCCAGCGAAATTTCAAGTGAGCCCACAAGCAGGTCAATGGGCGTCTCGGATCCGCCTCGCCACAAGAGCCTCCCGAGCGTGGCCTACCTATCACAGTACAATACTACAGAGTACGACGTAAAAATAAGGCACAGGGTGCAATCCTAGGGTACGAGGTATCCATCCACCAAACCTGGGCCAAGCTCCGCATATGGAGTTTGCCAAGACGTTGTAAGACGGAAAGTCGACCTCATTGTCCAATTCTCTCCCTCCTTTTTTTCCTTTTGTTACCCAACCGCAAGGCCCAGAGGCAAGACAGCAACCTTAGCTGCACCCGCCGGTAGTTTTCAGCAGCGCCCAGCAATCTGACGATGCTTCTTGCCAAGGCGCTATCGAAAGGATGGCTGCTTCCTCTTTGAGCTCCGCAACCGAAGCCCCGTTGGTTCGTTGCTGTGCTGGTTGATTCATTCCTCGGTCCCTCGTGGCTCGTTCCTCTCTCTCGACGCAGAGTCTCACTGCCTACCTAGGTAGACGGTCGCGATCCGTAAAATGGGATTTGACCAAACCTTGCAAGTGGGTAGCAGCTGGTTGGTTCTATTCTAGCCCAGACTCTATCTGCATTTAGGAAAAATGCCAAGATATTCAGCAGGTAAGGCGAGGTCGACCACTTGTTCCGTGTCTTTACTACCCTCGTGATCTGTCCAGTCTCGATGCTCACGGGCTGACTGACTCTCTTCTCTCCTTTGCTTTGCCGTCATTCTTTTTGCTTCTCTCATCTCCTCATGGTCCTGTTCACTTGATGTTCTTGGGTGTGAACTTTGCATATCTGCTCTTTGTTCCAGTCACGTATTTCGCTTTCGTACCTTGATCTTTACCAAGAAGCCTACTCGTCGGCAGTCTCGAGTGCAGCGCCTTGGCTGCTACGTCGGCCACCTCTAGACGCAGTCGACTAGACAACCCAAAGATGATATTTTCAAACTTGTGCTAAAACTTTGCATTGCAACTCGGACTGCACAGGTCGGCAGGTTCCTCTCCTCAGCCTACTCCGCACACCTACAAGCCCAACAATCCAGACGAGGCTTGGGAGCGCAGCACCATGCTTCGCGTACGCAGATACCGGATCTACATGGTCCTCGCGGCTGTCGGTCTCCTCCTACTCTACCGCATGACCCAGGACACAGATTGGGAAGCACTTTCTACCAGACCCATTGATTACACATCCGATGCCGGCTCGAAATTGGCAACCGGCTCGAAACTTGAGACAGAACAAGATGGCCCCAATGGCGGCTTGGGCATCCAGCGTAAGCGACCACAACAAAAGCCAATCGACGGAAAGGAGCAGGGAGAAAGTATAGTAAAGATTCCAGAGCTCCGAGAACCAGAGGAAGGCAAGCAGGTTGATTACACGCTGCCCACGAGCACTTCCAAGGAGCTAAATGCAAAGCCCACCGAGGCTGACGACAACAGCACAGACAAGAAAAAGGCAGACTCGGAAACCAAGACTACCGATACACCTCAAGTTGTCATACCTAATAGAAAGACGCCGCATCAGATTTGGGCAGAGGAAGCCGAAAAGGAACGTCTGGAGCAAGAGCTTCTTGATGCTGAAATCAAGGACAAGCAAGGTTTTGTAATCACCATTACAACAAAATCGACTTCCACCTCGACCATTCATTGGCGTAAACCTACAGAGGTATTTCCGGTAGCGCCCGAGTCTCTGCTGACTCTCCCGACGGGCAAGCCCAAGTCCATACCTCGAGTTCAATATGCATTCAAAGACGAGTCGGAAGCGGCTCGACAGGCACGCGAGGGCCGTCTGTCAGTTGTCAAGAGCGAGATGCAGCGGGCTTGGACTGGGTACAAAAAGTACGCATGGATGCATGATGAGCTATCGCCTGTATCGCTCAGGTTTCGCGATCCATTCTGTGGTTGGGCTGCCACCCTTGTTGATGCGCTCGACACTCTTTGGATCATGGGTATGAAGGAAGAGTTTGCCGAGGCCGTCGAAGCGGTGGGCAAGATTGACTTTACCACATCTCCACGAACCGAGATACCCGTCTTTGAGACGACTATTCGATATTTGGGCGGCCTGTTGGGCGCTTATGATGTCAGTGGCGGAAAGCAAGGAGGTTACGACATTCTGCTGGACAAGGCCATTGAACTTGCGGAAATTCTCATGGGCGTCTTTGATACTCCCAATCGCATGCCTGTCCTGTATTACAATTGGAAGCCAGCCTTTACGGGAAAAGCCAGACGCGCAGGATCGAGCGTAAGCGTTGCTGAATTAGGCTCACTGCTCATGGAGTTTACGCGGCTCGCCCAGGTGACCCAGGACAATAGGTATTACGATGCAGTGGCACGTATCACAGACGCATTCGAGGAGTGGCAGCTCAGGCCAAACGGGACCGATATTCCTGGCATCTTTCCCGAGCATGTAGATGCATCGGGCTGCAACAAGACGGCCGCTCAGAATGCTCAGATGAAGTTCACCGCCGAGCAGGAGGCAAACGTGCAGAGTGTGCTCGATGCGCCAGATGATTACACCGGCCAAGAGTATACACACAAGTCGAGATTCGCAAACACCATGAACACAGTTCCCGACCTGGCACTTTCTGACAAGGCCGACAGGCTCGGTACACGCAAGACTGGTTCAAGGAAGCGGACCGTTGACATTGATGTGGACTCTGACGAGGACCTCTATGACCACCCATTGACCGTCAACACTGGTTCGACCACACAGACAAAGAAATTCACAGCTCCTTTGATACTCTCGGCACCCAATCTATACCAGCAAATGGCTGCCGACAGAGTGTCTGCTGAGCCATACACCATTCCAGAGTTCACCGATGTCTGCTACCCGCAAGGTCTGACGGCTGGCAGCTGGGGCAGGAACACTTTTGGTATGGGTGGTTCTCAGGATTCGACATACGAGTACTTTCCAAAGCAGTTCCTTCTCTTGGGCGGGTTGGAACCAAAGTATGAAACCATGCATCTCAAGGTTGTTGATGCTGTCAAGAAATGGCTTCTTTATCGCCCAATGGTCCCTGACAACCGCGATATTCTTTTTAGCGCCAAGGTCACCACAAACGGAATCACAAGTAAAGACCCGATCAGTGAGTTTGAAGTGACACACCTGACTTGCTTCCTTGGAGGCATGTTTGGCATGGCTGGAAAGATCTTTGAAGAGCCTGTCGATGTTGAAATTGCCAAGAAGCTCACAGATGGGTGCGTCTGGGCATACGAGAACACCGCAACAGGAATCATGCCCGAAGGTGCGACCGTAGTGCCCTGTGCAGATACAGGTGACTGCAGATGGAACGAGACACTTTGGCATCGGTATCTAGATCCCATGTGGGATATGCGAGAGAAGCAAATCGATGACTACTACAAGCGCAAGGCCACAGCAAAAGCCAAGGCTGAAAAGGAAAAGCTAGATGAGCTACGTCGAGAGGCAGAGTCTGAGCTAGATGACGTGTCGGACGCCAATGCCAAGTCATCAGAGTCTCTTGATATTGCCGATCTGGCCGAGATTGCAGACGAAATGTCGGCCAAATCGGACGCCATGGCAGACGACAAGTTCCTAGCAAAGAAGAAGACAAAGAAGCGCGATTTGAATACTAACCCGGACCAGCTCGAAACCAGCTCCAATGACAATACACCCCCGGCCAAACCATCCCAAAAACTGGCATTTGAGGATCCAATGAATGATATCCTCGTTGCTGGTGGATCTGGGCGTGTTGGGAAGCCGATGCGGAGTAGTGCAGCGCAAGTGTCCCTGCAAGACGAAGAAGAGGACAGAACCAAGCCAGATCCTGCCAGGCCGCTCACTCATGAGGAATATGTAAAGGCACGACTCGAGAACGAAAAGATTCCTCCTGGGTTCGTGAGTGTATCGGCAAAGCACTACATCCTGCGGTAAGCCTTCCTCCCTTGTTCGTTACAAGACGTTTTCTGACTACTTCCCTGCAGTCCCGAGGCTATTGAGTCTGTCTGGTACATGTACCGCATCACAGGTGACACAACATGGCAGGAAAAAGGTTGGAAAATGTTTGAATCCATCATTGCTGCCACGCAAACCGAACACGGTCACAGCGCGATCACCAATGTTCTCGTGCCGGGCTCAGACAAGGACGACGCCATGGAGAGTTTTTGGTTTGCCGAGACCCTCAAGTATTTCTACTTGCTCTACTCGACCCCTGATGTCATAAGCCTGGACGAATGGGTACTGAATACCGAGGCACATCCGTTCAAGAGGCCGTTGCCGTCGGCTTGAAGCCCATCTCGACACGTACCAGTACTCAGCATGACACAATAACCCAAGCACAAAGCTGACAGCAGCCTTAGAGCTCTTGAACATGGGTACATACCTCCCAGGTAAAAGCAATGTTGACAAGGGCCAGGATTAGAGGCGGCACACTTTATTTCCCTTGTGCATCGACATGCATGCATGCGGGCCAGAGATAGTGCGTACCTACCTGATTAGATGCAGCGCCCAAGACATGTCAATGGATGATATGGAGTGCATCTGCAGGCTGCGAAGCATTACTCTTGCTTGTCGTTCTGCAGGTCCAAGGAAGTATAATCTAGGCCCATGGTCCGTCAAGGAGCAAGCCAGGGCTTGGACAGCCTCAACGGCCACTCTCCAGGCCATTCTGTTTGCTCCATTTACCAAAACGGTAGAGCATCAAGTCACTTTGAAAGATCGAGTGTGAAAAATGCAAAAGTCTTGATTAATGAGCAATATCTTTTTTTTGTTTCGCAGAAAATATCAAAATGACCATTTAATTACATGATGACCTGTGTAGTAGGACAACCAATTGTAGAAACACGATTGACCACATTCGTCCAAGTCTACAAACTGCTTTCCAAATTTACATTGCAATTCTCGCAGTCTCTCTCTCGCATCGTCTATCGTGGTATCCATGTGTCGTTGCAGCATTCCATTCATTAGACCGTTTTCCTCTCGTCAAGTCTGGTGGAGCAATCAAACAAGTGTTTGACGCGCAGTGCAGGATAACCAGGGCTTGAGCGTGCGGGAAAGGCCAAGAATACCAGTATCGAGAAATTTCCAAAAGTGCCATTACCCCAACTCCATTTCCCATATGCTATTGTTTCCGTGTTTTCCCTCAGGAGACGGTGAGACTGGCAAACATCCGTTTGCGTCGGTGCAAATCGGATCAGTCTCAAATGTCTATTGCCATTGATGCCAAAAAATCATCTCCATATGCACTAAAGGGAGCTCCTTGGTCTATGTGCCATCCATACAATTTCGTGTTCCGCCACCATGACGTTTGTCCAATGTCCTTGGCCTCAAGGCCTGATTATGTTTAGGAAAAATGCAAACTCATCATCAATCAGCCATTCGTGTCAATACTCTGATACTCAGAATCATGACCAGGAGACCGATTGTGACAATGATGAGCAGCGTGAAACTGAACCAGCCCATGACCATGGCACTTGTGCCTACGCCTGACAAGACGCTGCCGTTGCCAAAGTCTTGAGCAATGATGCTTGCCGCCACGGATGCCGTATGTTGCCACAGGACCGATACCAGGACAAAGATGCTGGCAATAAAGATGATGGCGAGTGCAATCTGAGAGACTGGTCTGCTGGGGAATGGCTTGATCTCGCGTACGCTGTCCTCCGAGTCTTCCTCCTCGTGCCATCCGGGAAAGGTGGCTAGAAGCAAGAAGCAGATAAAGGCAAAGATGATGGCAATGATGATCAGGTATGGAAACACAATCATGTCTTTGAACTGAGACGCCAACCAAATCAGGTTCAGAGGATCCTGGTCCACGGAAACCTCATTGGCGAGCGCGGTCGCATTGTTGGAGCAGAGCCAAGATCCACCGTCGGGATTGACGCAGATACCAAAGTAGCCTACACGTGCTTGGAGGTGGGCCGAGCCAACAATGTTGCTAATGGCTTGATAACCATTGTAGTCGACCTGTGCAGTGTCGGGTGTCGGCGTGTAATCCGAGTAGTACAGAGAGAGCAGGAATATGTCTGGTATCAGAGGGGAGGATGACGAGCATCCTGCGAGTAGTAACGCTGCATCTAGAGTCAGAGAGAGATGTTCATGAACTGGAAAGATAGTCACGTACATAGCAAGATGATGGCAACTGCTATTAGAATCATCAAGACATGATGATATCCGAGGAATGGCACCCATCCTAAGGAGCAACAGTCAGCAATCAGTCATCGATTCTTGCATTCCAACCAGCAAAGGTGTTATACTTACGATACCAGCCCACTTGGAATCGTTCGCCTGCCATGGCAACGTCTGATTCTTATGAATCTGTAGGTTGCCTATTCCACCACGGCCCAGTTGCCTGAGCTATCGATTCTTCGCCGTCCCCCGCTAGATCGGAGTGGCGGTTGGGCAATGACTCGACTGTCAGCAGTGGCTGTATCACGTTGTCGCGCTGGGTAGCGATGCGATGGAATGCGTCGAGTTCGCTCGACCTTGATCTCGCAGCGGGTTGTTGGAATGCGCTGTCTCAGCGATCAGATATATAATGCGGGCAGAGGACGATCAAATCAATGATCGGATCGTGGTTCCTGCTTGTTAGAGATTCCCAACAGTGAAGCGGCTGGTGGGGATGGCGGGAGAGGTGAGGTAAGATGGTGGGTGGATCTTGGTGTTTGTGTATGAATGTGTAAATGAGTTGCTGGTGCAAGATGAACACTTAGTCGGATTGATGACAATATCTCCTTCAACAATATGCAGAAAGACGAAAAAAGACAAAGAAAGAGTATCTGTCGCGAAGAGTGGGCGAATGGATGGATGCTAGATACAATTTCTTTCTCGGGATCGTGGGTGGGCGCAATCGCAGGAACGAATTGATGCGGTGGCTGGGAATGGTGCCTGGCTTGCTTGATTGATAGATGAACGTCTGCGCTTTGCTGGCTCGTTGGGTCTGGGACTCGACAGGCAAGAGAAAAAAATGGGATCTGCGACAGCTCGAGATGGGTTAGATGGGATAAATGTGCGCATCTCATTGGTCTAGCCTCTCGCATTTTCAGTGTCGCGACATGATCCGTCTCCCAGCCATCGCCTTTTTGTTGACTTGGGCTCCGTTGCTACGGGGACCCGCTCAATGCGATTGACTGGGCGGAGCTGGGGTAAGATCTGAGCAATCGACTACATTAAGGTAGGCGGGGGGCGGGCCAAGCGGGCTGAGCCCCCCCGCTACTGGCAGACTTTCCATGGCTTCCTGCCATTGCCTGTCCCCTGCGTTAGCGCTACTCAGCTGCTAAATCAACAGACGCTGCGCTCGTTTAGGCTCATTATATCCGCTTTCGAAACCTCCTAGCGGCTAGATCGTTCTTTTAAGCTACACTGGACGCATACAGTGGGCAAAGTGGTTCTGGCATGGGCACTGACCGCTGACGGGCGCCATTGAATGACGTCGCGCGCTTCCTTGTATCCTGCTTGGCTTCTTGACAACACACAAACGAATCCCACCTCCCTAGACGATGCCGTAGCAACCGTCAGGGTCTTTTCCTGTTCTACGTGTAACCAAGACAGATTCGAACATCCTTACAATTTCAAATTCCATTACAACCCAGATTACTAGGTGATAATTTCGCTCTTATAACTCCACGTCATCCCAGGTCTCGTCGAGTGCCACTTGCCCAAACAACTTGACCTTGAGAGCACACGACAAACAAAACAGTTGCCCTGGCATCGGTATCAGACTTGGCCCGTCTATTGTCACCATGCTCTTGGAAAAGACGTACTTGGGAGGAATGGTCCTTGCTTTCCTAGGCCAGAACTGCAAACTTGTGGAGCTTACCGAACGCAGTAGGACGGCCACAAGTCAATGACTACTTCATCAAGTGGCGCCCATCTATATCGAAGGTTGACTTTCTCCTACGCCAGAAAGGTCAGCAATACCCGAATTCGGTAAACTACTTGACGACAGAAGTCTATCATGGGTACAAACAGCACAGAGAAGCACTTGTTGACCCACGCAGGCTGCCCGACGAGAGATGATGCGTCGTCTTGCAACAGTCTAGGTCCTTTTGGGTTGCAATAAATAATTCCCATCACGACTCGTCTCAATACGCAATGTGATTTCTGCCCAGTCAAGGCCCGCTATCATTAAATCACACAGTCATTGTCAGCCATGCCTGCTACCTACCAAGCGATGCCTATTGGCTTCATGAGACGACACGCATCAAGAATGGAGGGAAACATGAAACACGCAGCAAGAGATGGCTACCGATGGTTCCCGACCAATTTTTACAGCCGCAGCATATGGTGCAAGAATAATTCCTAGGCCTTTGCGCCAGCATAGCCTACTTTTAGGTATGTAGACAGTGAAAGCATCGAGCCCGAGGCAAGCAAATGTCAGTCGGCGGGCCTCGTCTCAAGACTACGAGACATCGCCCAGTGCAAGCTTACAAACGACGCATGTGCTCATGCATAATGCGAAATGTAAAACGCGCCAGAGAGACCATCATCCTATTCATCATCCGACTCTTGCCCGTAAAAAAGGAATCATTGCCTCGATGGGAGAATACTAAGGTATCTAACTCTCCGCAGTCCCAGATGCCTTATCTAGTCAGGCTGGGAAGAATAACTCAGCAGACTATCGAGAGAAGCTCGCCACGAGGCCAAACAGATGGTGCTCGATTTGTGCTGTGGAAGAAATAACGAATAACACAATTGAAAATGAGGGAAACTTTGCTTCAGACGATTGTCAAATCATGGCAGCGTGATTCAACCCTGGAACGGATGCGCGTTACGCAGCGCATCGTACCACTAGGGGAGCATCTTCCTGCATCTCCCAATAATGGTCTCAAGCGCGGGTTGTTGCCCTGTCTACGTTCCTGGACTGGCAAGCACGCCTCGCCTTCCCATCCAGCCGTGGCTTGCAATGAATGTTATTGGATCAAGGCTGGGGAACCATGTGTTCAGGACGCGTCAGAGTTCATCACCGCATTGGCGAGTTCATTGTGTCAAATAGTATTAATATGTCTAAGATTCTAGTGTGCTTCTTGCCAGGAGAGTTGTTTCTCCTGAAATTTGTCCTTGGGGACGGGTATCTTTCCATGTTGAAATCCAACAAAAACAAATCTAACATCCAACTCCGAGTTCCCAGGCCCAGCCTCAGTTCTATGTCTATTTTTCATCGCAGGTCTTTTTTCGAGTTCTGTGCATCTTGTTCCTCTACAAGTCTGGCACGTCCTTGAACCAAGGGTGCTCTAATGCTTTCTGTGCGGTAATACGCTTTCTTGGGTCAAAGTTGGTCATTTGCCGGATGAGGTCCTTGAAGTCCGCATCCAAGACATCGCTCTTCCACATGGAAAAGGGTCGGCGTGGGTTTGACTCCCCAAACGAGTCGGCCATTCTGGTAAAGTTTTGCTGCCATGGGTGTCCGCGACCCAAGTAGTTTAGGAAGCTGTCGAAATCATCCCAATCTGCAAAGTGGGAGATTTGCTTCTCCAGAATGGCAAAGCTTAAATCAGTGGACTGAGGCAGGTCCATCCAAAAGATAACCCTTCGTAACAAAAGAAAGATGGACTATGGGGCTTGTTAGTTGATGCTTGATTCTAATGGGATTTCATGGCCAAACTCACAACAATGGCAAAGGAGAAAATGTCAGTTGGCTTGCCGATGGCGCCCTTGACATGAGCTTCGGGGGATCGCCACCAGTGGTTACCCACTTGCAGACCCTGCAGCGCCTGGGCTGGAGGAATATGAGTAGCGTCCTCGAGATCTGAGAGCTGAACCCGGTCGACGACCACGCCCTTGTCGGTCTCATGGTAGTCAACCATGATGTTGTTTGCCTTGATGTCCAGGTGGGCAATGTTGTGCGCATGCATGGCTGCCAATCCTCGGAGAGCATCTCTGAGTATGCGTTTTTGCGTGGCCAGTGGCATGGGCTTCCACGCAAAGTTCATGAGGTGATCGGTAAGGTATTCATTGACGAACATTTTCTGGCCGGGAATAGTATCGTAAACCGCCCTCAGATAGGGGCTCGTCGACAGCTTGGGCTGCAGTGCCAAAGCATAGTTGTAGTCGGAGTCAAAGAGGCTCTTGAGTACATAGCGCTTGTGGTCCGCCTGTGCCAAGTATACAAATCGATTCTCCCTGTCCTGGAGGACTCGCTCAATGGTGTAATTCCGACCGGACCGTCCTTGCAGGCTCGCACCGACAAAGTTTGAAGAATGTAAAGGCGTCGGGGGCGAAATGGCTGTAGCAAAGCCTTGCGACCGACCGGTCGCTACCTTGAGAGCGACATCAGGGCGAGGAATGCATGATCGTAGCGCAGGAGATCTCGCAGATTGTAGAGATGGTAGTGTAGCCTTTAGTGTTGAAGAGGCAGTTCGCAGTTGCATAGTATCGGGTGTTCCGAGTTGTGTGTGTCCGCTTGTCCCTGTCTATTGCAAAACGTGTATTGATTATAATAAAGATGTAAAGTCTAGAGAAGATCCAAACGACGACAGGAATGTCCAAGAATGAGTTGCAAATAAAACAGAGAATGGGAAATTGAATAATATTAGAAGCCAAGTCAGACTGGGGGAGACTTCCTTTTCCTACTTTCGACTAATATGGAGATATTGGCCACTTGACCGCTCGCCGCTCGGTGTAGGGAAGCGCGCAGGGACTTCTAGCGTCTCGGTACCCAGAAAAAAAATCCATTGCGCTCTTGGCGGAAAGCGTGGGGGATACCAAGGTACATAGTAGGGCAGATCAGCAATGGACATTGGACAGCTCCAGTGGGTTTCAGAGATTTACGGTTACGGGAGCCAATCGGACAAGCAGCCTAGAACATGCCGGGTTATTCTGCCAATGCCACACACTCAAAGCAGCGGCACGTCCAGGCCATCACAATTTTTAGGAACGCGCGCACCTTTTCGAGAACCAGTTGCCAAACCCAGCGAGCAAGCTGACCAGGTGCTGCAAGATGCAGCAAAAAGGCCCAGGGGAGCGGGTCCAGAACGCAGCAGCCCAGGGCAATCAAACAATCCCATCCCACGCCTAAATGCAGGACAAAAAGGCCAAAGAGCTCCAGGCCTTTTCTCTCATTACTCTGTAGTATAAGTATTTAATTCATCTTGCTTTATAAAGAAAAAGCATCCTCGAAAAAGAAAACGACGAATGGATAGTGTAGACACCTCGTGGATCCCCTTGGCCACGCCGCTCTTTTTACACTCACAGGATACGAAACAGCGATGGCGCTCATCAATCAAATGGGCCCACGTGCTGACTCGAGGCTATAATTGGATATCTCTCACGGGCACATTCTAGAAAACCTTCAAGGTAGTCGATTGCCGCAAACACGGGATCTGACAGTCTGAAATGAAGAAGAGACTGGAAGATGTGGGGGTCCTCAACAGCAGCAGAGGGACTCCCACCCAAGCAGCTTGACCGCTCCCTTCACCTTTGGCCCCTGTCCGTCCTTCACCTTGCGACGTCGCAATCTGCCAATTTCGTGGTTCTTAGCGAGGCGTTCACCTTTGCGTGCCGTCCTTCTCAATGGTTCTAGGCGTTACCCCCGTGTCCGGGGATGGCATCCGCATTTCAACAGACACATTGCACATTGCAACAGAAAACAATTGAGATGAGCCTTTCGCATAGGTCCATGGGCTTATTGACCTGCTTTACGCCACGCAAACCAGTCCCCAGTCTCTATCTGCAGGGTGACTGACCTGCTGACCTATTGATTTTTTTTTTCTCCCTTCCCTCCTCCATTCCTTCCTCTGTATGCCTGTACTTTGTACGAAACTGCAACTGGGTTCGTTTTCCGACCATGTAGCAAGCACAGCACGCCAGGTTCAATGCATCTCTTGTGCGCAGTTCATACTTTTCTCGAGCGTCGAGCTTTGCTTTGACTCTGCATACAACCTGCATAACTAGAATCCTTTTTATTTCGTACCAGCAATCACATTACTCAGGCGCCGCGACCGGCAGCCGATCGAACCGCGAGCTATTTCTTACACACAGCCTGTGCAGCGTGTTGGCGTGCAGACAGATTGGCAAACTGCTGGCTGCCCTATTGTCACTGCAGCCATTAAAGCCGAATCAAATCCGATACGCGGTATTGTGGGTTTTCTATGGGTAAGAATTGGAAACGAAGCAACGACAGTCGTCACAAATTCTTGATTTGTTGAATCTCCGCAACTCCGGGGGAAAGATCGACGAGATCTTCATCCCGGCGTGGCGGGTACATTCCACAAAGCTGTCTTGCCTATCGTGGCTGAACTGTCTGCACTTGCCTGATCTTGTAGCTCGGCCCGCGACATTGGAGGGTCGTCGTGCTTGTCCAAGATGGGCCCGTTCTCCAACTATACTAATTCATGGTCGCGAACTTTGAAATCTCTCTGTATGTACACTATAGTGTATTCCGCTGATGCTTGATCTTTTCTTCCGAGGGTGTGGACCCTTGAATTTCAAAGATTGCACTAGATTGGAGAGCCGAATCAGGACCCTGATCTTCGTTCTTGCAGCTTTGGCTGCCAAACAACTCTGGGCCTACTCGGCGCACTGGACTCACTATACTAGCAGACTACCTACCCACGCTGACACTGGCGACCGTGAGTCAAGAGGGACACTGTTGAAACGTCATCCCACCTAAGCCGTGGAAAGATTGGTCGGGTAGACGGTCCATCAGACTGCCAATTGGTCTTGCTTATCGTCGCTATGGCTGGTTGGATCGGCATTGATATCCACAATCGTATCGTTCAGACGCCGGATGCAACATTGAAAAACCAGCAGCTATTTAATGTTAATGCCTCTCGCCGGTCGGCTTCTCCAGGTGGGTATACCCAATCAAAGTGGTGGTTACTGATGTAGGTAGGCATAAGCTCAAGGCCATGTTTGTCAGGCACTTGGTGTCGTGCTTTTCTGGCCCCATATATTGACTGATCAATATGGCATGACATATCCAGTATTCCTAGCGTAAAATATGGAACATGATGCATAAAGCTACACTACATCTTTCGTCGTCTCACTCGAATAGTATCACGCAATGGAGGCGCTATATGCCCAAAGAACCATTGATTCCCCGGTCGCTTCGAGATTGGCTCAATCTCATAGTGCAAGAGAATATGAGCAAGCGCAATCTTCAACTGATTTGCCGCAAAGAATCTCCCCGGGCTGTCATGGTTGTCAGGGTTTGATCGAATACTAGGTAGTTTGTTGAGTAATGTACTCACCAAGCATGCGAACCATGGCTAAAGCCCATGAATTTGTCGCTCGTGGTGACAAGAGCCAGAGGGCTCTCACTCCTCGATCCCACAAACCGGAACGCATCATATGTGCTGGCGCTCTTGTAGATACTGTCGTCGTGATGAACGCTGTAGCCTGAAATTCCTACTTTGGTGCCGCAGGGAATTCGCGATCCATTCGGTAGCGTTACACCTTTGGGAGCTACAACCATTTTCATGATGCCCCGCTCGATGAAGCCGTTGAGTCGCAAGCTCTCCCGTAAAGAGGAATCAATGTGCCTCATGCGAGCAAGACTTGACTTTGACCATCCTGCTTTCATCGTCTCATTGACCACCTCTTGGCGCATTAAATTGCATGTCGATACACAGTTGGATGTGGCAGCGATATCAAATATGCAATTAGTCAATGTAATAACTGATGATTGGATGGCCGCAAAGCAGAGCACTATGAAACGGCACGAGATGACTTTGGGGTCCAACTCTTCCAGAGAAACAACAGGCCGGTTCAGGGCATGGTCAATTGCCCATTGGATATAGTCATTCTACCAATCATGTTAGCGACTCGATTCGAATGATAACTTGTGATACATACACAAGGTTCTTGGTCAAATGTAGACAACTTGTCGGCACAATGGATCTTGTTGATTCGTTCTTTAATTATGGGCATGATATATCGACAGCATTTTTGATACTGCAAATAGTCATAATAGGTGACAAAAGGAGCAAACAGACTACGTCTCATTAGTAAGCCATTAAATAACGCTACACGAAGTTGTCATGTAACTCACGGTCTCAAGAATGATGGAAAAACACTCAATGCTGCGGCAGAGAGCGCAACATTCCTGTTAAAGGAGCTACAGGCCCCGAGAAAGTCCTGGTCATGGCACAGGGGCTGCCCAATGAAGACGCGAGTTGACAGACGTGCAATCAAACTCAGCATACTTTCATACAATTTCACTTCTCGCCAACTTCCTGCGTCCGAACCCCAAAGGTCTTCGAGGCAGGCCCGAGTTTCATCCACCATTTCCCCAGTAAAAGTGCCGAGAAGCTTTGCGAGTTCATGATTGACCACCTCCATATGTACCGGATTCTTTACCAGATTTGCGTGAAAGAAAGTGTGCTCGGCCTGGAGGAATTGACGGTTTACGTGCTCTTGACTCAAGACGGAGTCAGGCTGTTGGAGCAGCCACTGCAGCTGAGAACGGGGAAGAATGACTTGATGGCCATTAATGAAATACGGAAGAACATAGGCCTTTTCGTTTTTGGAAAACTGTTCCCGTGAGTCAACGCATGAATTATGTTTGGAGCCTGCTCACGCACTTGGTTGTAACCTTCATCAAGAAGGTCCTTGAGATTGAAAAAGCTGGCCAAATTTGCACGGATCCTTGCAATCGGGGTGACATGATTACCCATTCCTACCCACGGCAGAGTGTTGGGCAGACCATGACTTGAAATCAGACGCCAAATCAAGTGGGCTAGTACAACCGTAGGAATGACCAGAAGAATAATTGTTAAGACTGTCGCCGATGGGGCAAATGTTATCAAAGTTATGATTGCCATTTTTTTTTTACTACAACCTAGGCTTTTTCAGAGTCAAGTTGATTGCCAATAAAGCTCAGTTCATGTAATATCAATGAGATTTCGGACGGGATTCAGCAAGGAATATATATATGACACAGGAGAAATAGTGTCGTCACCTTTATGGTTGCTCCATGCATGGCAGCATCGTGGTTGGGAGACAACAGTCGATCCTGGTTCGTTATTAACATGGATAGATCCCGCCGGATAGTCAGTGTCGACGATAACTAAAAAGAAGAGCTATCATCACACAAAGTCACATCTGAAGAAGAGACCTGACCGGTTCCGGACCAGGGGTCCTCGGTGCAAGACGGGAGCAGCCGCTCATGGCGTTCCCGGTTGAACAAGGATTTTAAGCAACCATGGAAAGCGCTAATCCCTACAAAATATCTGAAAAGATATTTTGCAAGTGTTGATTGTCCATGATGGTGTCTTCAAGAAGAAGGAACAGGGAAAAAGTCATTCTTCTAATGATCTGGGGGCGACTTTATCAAGGACTATTCCAAGGCCCGCGTCTCGAGATTCCAAGGTGAAAGACACGAGGTTTCTGAGAGCATAAAGTTATGTGAACAATACTATTGTGCCTCGACCAGATCATTGAATGCGCATATTCCGTCGATAAACAGAATACAGTCAAGAGCATGATCAACCCTGTCGTGGTAGTTCTTGCCGGAAAACGAGAATATCCCTAGAAGGATCCAAAATACCAAGAACATTGTATGCAAAGGTTTGCTTTTCAAAGTCACATCAGGCTCGGCTCCAGACAATCATCGGACTTGACTGCTCTCGTGACGTGCCATTGCCACCTCAAGAGATACCTACTAAGCGAGCTGAGCTGTCGTGGATATACACGGTAACAAGTGGGTATTTGCTCTCACAAGAGACTACTAATTCTAATCACCGGATTGGGAAAAAATGCCCTGGATGGTGACACGACTAGATACTTATCTTCAGGTCGCGCCCAAGAAGGGAGTGTTCTGTAAAGGTCGTCATGTCTGAGCAGAAAACAACCAATGGCAAATATGCCCTAATAAGCCCAGCCTGCTTACAAGCAAATAATTTACTTGTTATCTAACATCAACCGTGACTTACGGGTGGTCTCACTGTCGCGAGTTCATGGTCGGCCGAGACAATAATCCCTACAGATGTAGAGAGATATGACAGAAATGAAGCGATCTGTGCGAGTGGCTCAATAAAGAAGTGTACACTCGGAGCCTAGGTAGTTATTCGCGATTCCATCCCAAATTGGCAATTTTTTTTTTGGAGCAATGTGCCTCACGCGCATCGGGCGGATGATGGATCCGTCTCCCGGAAACTTATAAGTGATAGATGATGGGCGGTGAATCCAATCCATCGGACTCCAATTACACCGGTTCCAAATTAGAAATTGCCAAATGCTGACAGAATCATTCAGTGTCCAGAAATAAAAAGCAAGTCTACCGCGTGTCAAAGTCCACTTGTGGCTTAGGCTAGTAAACAGCTTGGCAACCTCGTCTGATATTCGTGCTATACTACCATAACTTCGGCCGCAGTAGAGAGGTTGTCGCCTGATTTGGCGTAATGAGTGGGTTGAGCTGAGCTGGGCATTTCCATGTTTTCCTGGCAAAGGCATTCTGCTTTGCCACAAGCTGGGAATGCAATGATGCTGCATCATATCGCCATGGAGAATATATTTCAAGGTAGATGGCACAAAGTTCTCGGATTTGAAACAAATTTCAGGATCAAGGACCTACCAATCTAATCATACCGGAGAAGAATAATGAAATCATTCATTCGTTTGACCTCTTTTGCGGGCCTCTTCGCAGCTGGCTTGGCTGGCGTATCGCCCGAGGCAAGAATGGCACCCCGAATTGTATCTGGCCTTCTCACGGCCGTTGGTGATCTCGGCAACGCACCCCCTCCAGACCTGCTGTGGACGCTTGATCCATCTGCCGAGTGTACTGATATCAATCGAGGCAAACTACAATGTTGCCGTGGATCCTTGGCTGGAGACCTTCCAATCGTTGTCTTTTTGGCCGCCGTGTACGGCTATGAACTGAATCCAAACGATGTCAACGGCGTAATTTGTTAGTAAAGTCTACTTTGTGGTCAGCGCTATCTGCATAAACTCGGCAACAAAAGAGCAATAGACCCCGAGTCTCCAGAGATGAAGACAATTCGCTAACCAATACGGATCTCTGGCCCAGGTGATTCCGAGTTAGACGAGTGTCCCGGCGTTAAGCTCTGTTGCCAGGTCACGGTTTTGGTGAGATATCTCGTTCCCGCGACAGTTGGCCGACTTAAGCCTCCTTGGCTAACATGTCTCTTTCTAGAATCCACTCCTGTCACTCTACTGTCAAGACTATGGTCCCCAAGGGTCAAGATGATTTCTTCATAAAATTGAGTTTGGCGTTCTAGTCCGTGGACCTTTTGTCTCTTCCTCTCTATATGCTTGCCATGCGTGCGTTGGTACATATTCGTACATAGTGATACAATAGTGCTCAAGATGCGTCTTTTCCCAGCTTCCTGTTACTCCGAGGGGTGATACCCAGTTGTACAAGAGTGAAATATCACTCTCTGTATTGTACACAATATGATGCAGTGTTGCCTCCTATACTCATGTCATATCATGTAGTACCGTCGTCTTACGTGTACTAAATATGAGCATTATGGATGAAGGGTGCATGTGTCCAAGCACCGGAAAAAAAAAACATGGATTTTCCCATGGCGCGTTGATTTATTTGTTTCGTTTCAAAGTCTTGACGGCCATCTCGATCAGGCCATCTTTGGCATCGCTATCCGGAAAGGTGTCCAGAGCCGAAATAGCTTTCCGTGAATAATCCTCGGCTAAAGCACGGGTCTGTTCAATTCCATTGCTTTGCAGAACCAGTTCTCGAGCCTAGAAAAGTTAGCAAAAACACACAAGGTATTAACATTGATTCAAGAAGGGGAGGGGGGGGAACCTACCCTAGCAGCATCTCCTTCCTGCTCAAACTTCCTGCCAACAAGTGAACCGAGCTCAGGGATGTCCTTCCAGGCAAAGAGTAAAGGTGCAGTCGCCAGGCCCAACTCAAGATCAGCCCCAGCGGGCTTGCCAAGATCCTTTTCACTCCTTGTGTAGTCCAGCATATCATCAACTAGCTGGAATGCAAGGCCCAAATTTTTTCCATACGCATAAGCTGCCTCGACTGTTGTGGCATCGGCTCGTCCTAAAAGGGCAGCAGCTCGGCATGACTTGGAGATCAAGCTGGCCGTCTTGAGATATGTCTTTTGCAAGTAGTAGGTCATTGTATCCTCCGACCACTTTGGGTTCCGCTCGTCGCGGGCAGTGTTCTTTAACTGCATGAACTCGCCCTCGACCAAATTCGCGATAACGGTAGCGAGCAACTCAACCACCTCGGCGTCCCGCAACCGGGCCAGAGCTACTGAGGCGCGGCCCAAAAGGAAATCGCCAGCCAAAACAGCCATCTTGTTTCCGAATTCAAGGTTGGCAGAAGGCGAGCCGCGTCTCGACACCGAATGATCAATGACATCGTCGTGCAACAGCGAAGCTGTGTGAATCAACTCGGTAATTTCGGCTAGGCGCCTCTGGGCTGGAAGGATGTCGCTCTCGGTCGATGCGGGATCGGATGAAAAGCTCGTCAAAGGCGAGGATGGGTTGACGTCGCGCAAGACATCCAAAGGAGAGATTGAGGTGTTGATGCCCTGGGTTGTCTCGGTCGGTGCAGGCTGGGGCGCTTTCGGGCATAGAGCTGATGCTCGCGACATGAGAAGCACAATCATGGGCCTGACGTGCTTACCCTCAGCTTGTGTGTAGTATTTTGCCACCTTGTCAAGAGATGGATGCCCAGAGCCGAGCAGCTGTCGTATGTTGCCCGTCAGGAACTTCATCTCTTTGGCGACTATCCTTAACGGATCAATGTGCAGATCGCTGCTCTTGGAAGTCGCGCGAGAAACGGCATTGGAAACTATGTTGCCAGCCACCTGCACTGCAGCCCCCCATGCTGAGGATCTTCTCGAGGTGTTGTGATATGCCACTCTTTGGTTCCGTAACCTAATGTCTAGAAACGCTGCCCTCCTAAGGCAATCTGAACACGGCGATAATACTGACGTGCTCCCAGCGACCCGGGCTTGGAGGAGCAGCGATGCTCCCGGCCGAAGCTGCATCATGGCGGTAAAAGGATGTCTCGAGGGACAATTAAGGCTGTGGATGTTCCGGCTATATCGACGAGAACATGAGTGCCGTTGGTATCGTGTCGCAGCAAATATCCGTCGAGTCCGAGGCCGCGTCGCAATTATCGATAGTGATTTCTATGGTCTCGAAAAAATTCAGGACCCAGCTGATGATTCGTTCAATGGAGCCGGCGCAAGGAACCCTGCAGCTGGAGCACATGTGGCTCAACCTCGGTCGCGGGTTCCATTTCTTGCCGATATGTGGCACGTATTTACAGCGCAAGTGCAGTGCCCAAGTATCCATCTGACTAGCGCTAATTTAGCCAGGAAACTGTGGCTGGCCGCTGGACATTATTGAAGAACTGGCAGCCTGGCAGTAACAGCACAAGGTTCCAGAAACTTGTCCACCTTGACGATATCAAGTGCGATATTTCTATTGAAAAGTTTCTGGTCTTTTCAAAGGCTACCGAGACTGGAGACATGGTTCTACTAACGATGACGGCCACCATCGTGGAGGTCATGAAGCAGCTTGACGACAAACCCGTTGACAGCCATGAAGAAGACAGTCCATCCGAGGAGCCAAGCCTCGCACACCCGGCCGTTGGAAAACCGATCACACATGGCCAGATAATCAATGTGTGGAAGCAATCCAGAGGGGAGGGAAGTTTGGGATGCTCGCTGGAGAATCTCTTGCGTGGTGCGACAATCTATGTCCCGCCCCCTCCCCCAAAGCCGGAACCTGTACGGTACACCCGGAAACTTGTCGTATTGATACTAGCTAACACATGATCATGATCAGTCGGACGAGTATAAACAACTCATGGCTCGTCTTCGGAGAGAAGAAGAAGAGCGATCGTACGAGCGGATGATCAAGGCGCCACCGACCCGCGAAACGTTTGCCCAGCGATTTCCAATGGCTCCAATGACCATGGCCGATTCGTTTGCCGAAGCCAACAAACCAACAAGGCAATCCGACCTTGGCGAGGAGAACATAAATCACGGAGAGATACAGCAGCAGATCACCTTGATCATCAACTTTCTTGTCAGTATTGCCGGGTGTGCCGCAGCTTTCTGGATTTGTGCACAGTGGTGGAGCACGACGGCCAGACTTTTCCTCACCCTATTTGGCACCATAACTGTCGCAGTTTGCGAAGTCGCAGTCTACAATGCGTACAGCTGGCGAATGATAGAGGGCGACAAGAAGCAAAAGAATACAAAAGAGGTCAAGGACATTGTCAAGACATGGGTCATTGGCGCAGACGAACCAACAAAGGAGGGTTATGAACCTGTGCTTATACAACCAATGGTCCACGATACAAATTCGGACATTCGACAACGAAAAGTTGCGCCTTTTTGAAAACATTGTCTATACAGAATCTTATTTTCACCTTTTTCGAGTTGATTCTTGTCCGCTTTCCAGTCAATGTTGAACGCCTTTCACAGGTCTTATTAGTGGACATTCAAGACCAGGACCTCCGTCATCCCAGCTATCGCAGCGCCCCACTTGCCGCATCGAGACACGGTCCCGCCGCCCCAAGCTTGACGCGTCAAGGGCCATTAAAGACGCGTCGACTTTCTCTGCCCCTCTCTCAGTAGGGAACAAGAAGCAATACAAAATATTGATGACACAAGCAAGATGCGATACCTACCTTCTAATCATCACTAAACTAATTCGGCTTTGGTCTGTTCTCGGTACACATCTGTTTACTCTGTTCTTACACCTACACTGTTCAAGAGTGCCACAACCTTGCGCAGTGTAATTTTCGATTTTGGGAAGCAGGTCGACAGGATCGATGACGGATCACGTGGCCGCGGGCGCTCGAGGTCTCAACAGGTACGCGTTCTTTTGTCACGGCCAGCGGCTCTGTGGCTGACACAAGCCTGTAATGACACTGCTAACACATTCAAAGACCGCCGTTGCGGACATATAGCAAACGTTCTGCGCCAAATTCCACCGAGCCCCCAGCCAAAAAACGGCGCGTCGAGTCGAGCAATGTTGACATTCACAGCATTGCTGGCAGATTTGCACAAAAGCTCGAAGCGGCGTGTCAATCAAAACATGATCCTCAGTCACAAGTGCCTCTGCCGACACCTGCTCAACAACCAAAGAAAGGCACAATCTTGAGTTACTTCAAAGTCCGATCGCCGTCTTCGACAACATCATCGTCATGTGCGCAAGTATCCGAGGTCATACCACTTTCGTCCACGCCTCCATCCTCCATACCCTCTGAATCAAACGACTCTAGTTGCAAGAAACGTCGAAGATTGACGACCAAACCGCCCTTACGAAACAGCGACACGAGTAGCCCAGAGTCGGACGACGATGGCAGCAGCGACACCAAGCAACAGACACAAGTCACGAAGGATTCCAAGTCCACCGTCCAAGATGTCAATGGCAATCTCATTGATCAGGATCCTAGGGCCAAGGCAGAAAGGCCAGACGCTCGGGAAAGGGGCACTAAGAAAGGATCAAAATCCAAGAAAGCCACGGTGCAGACGACTTTAAGCCTGTCTTTGACTGAAAAGCAGTTCATCGAGTGCAACGAGTGCAACATGTTGTACAACCCATATCATGAGAAGGATCTAAAGATGCACAAGAAAAGACATGCTGCAGTGATGAAGGCAAATAAAGCAAAAGGCAAGGATGAAGCATGCTCTCACTAAGAGAGATTGGTTACCATGAAACTGGATGTGCCTGTTTTGTTGTCTTTTGCCTAGATGTTTGGCGTCATTTAGTTCTGTTTTTGATACCCCTAGAGTAATTTGTCTATTAGCCGTGCTGATATCTATCAAGAATGGCACCTCTAAATTGCAATGAGCAAGTCCCGATTCTCCATATACCTGTTGCCTGAAACTTTGCTCGCGAGCAGCAACATTCTCACTTTCTACCCACCAAATGCTAATCAAGCCTTGGGTTGTAATGTCGTTCCCGTGTAGGCCGGCTTCCTGTCCCAATTCCCTCGGGTATTTGGTGGTTTCTTTTATCTAGTCACGTTGCGTCTGGGCTGGTCTCTTTCCCCCGTCAGTCTGATGAGCTCTTAATTGCTGCAGCTACACGCTTCCATATCGTCCACGTTGATCAGCTACATCAGATAGTCACCGACGCAATAGCTTCCCACGGACGAATGGGCACACAATGATAGCATCGCACCTGTGCCTGCGGCTTGAAATATACGCACGACGCAACACATGCAATTCTTTAGCTCAAAGGATGTGTCTTTTATGACCTGGAACACTGGTATCATGGAAGTGAAGAAAAACGGATTTGAGCGAGCGTACGAATCGAAGTCTATGTATCAGTAAAGTTGTTACGTCACTTTGTGACAGTCTTAATAGGTCTTAAAAATTATGTACGATGGGCATATTAACAGAAGCAGCGGGCCAGTCGCCGTATCTTATAGAGCAAAGTTACCCTTGCTGGCACCGGGAAACTTGTCGGTGACGTATGACAAAAAGTCAGTACCGTTGACGCTCAGATCATCCCAGGTTGGGCAGGAAAGATCGAGAAGCGGGTCCAGGATGGCGTTGTTGATGAGCTCAAGAGGTGTGGTGAGAGTTGCGAAAAGGGAGGAGAGCGAGTTGGGGGCAAAGGTCTTGACAACCTCCAAAGCGAAACAAAAGAGGTTGTTGCCCTCTAGCAGGGACGTGGCATTAAGCAGGCCGCCGGTAACGTCCTCCAGGTTCAGACCAGCAAAGCTGTTGGTCGTGCCCAGGTTGCCACCAACGCTGGCCAGGACGGGGTGCTTCATGATCCAGGAGACAAGGTCGAGGTTGAGGCTAACAAGGCCGTAGTCGACGGCGGTACGGTACCAGTTCTCGGGGATCTGCTCCCAGCCTTCTTTGTAGGTGAGCTCGCCATCCTCCTCGTACACACCAAAGAAACTGGCAAAAACTTCCTTGGCTGGAGAATATTTTAGTAATTTTTCCTTTGCAATTTGGGTGCAAGAACAGATTTCTACTCACTCATGTTGCCGCCAAGAGGGAACTCGGTAGAGTGATTGCTAAGAACTCGTCCAACGAATGCATATCCGGCGTTGCGGGCAATCATGCCAGTGTAGGGACCATAGTAAAAGTACGGGTTGATTCCGACACTCTCATCGAATCGTGCGGCAGCTCGGTCACCAATATCCTCCATTGTCAAGGCGCCATCAATGTTGTCGTAGATATCCCGGAACAGGGTCATATTCATTGTCCATGCGTTGCCAGTAACGTAGAGGTCATCACGGGTACCGGAAGAGTCAGCCTCAATCCAGTTGTGGCTACCCTCGAGACCCCTGGGGGTACCTATACAGCAGGTCAGTTATATGCTCTTTTGTAACTATAGTCAGGGTTCATACCGAGGAGACCGCCCAAGTTCCCAAGAATGTTGGAGACCTTTGACGTCTCGCCACCAATTGAGAATCCGGGGTTAAGGGAAAGAGGGTCGCCAACACCGGCAGTTCCCATTATGGCAAGAACTGTTATAAGATCGATACCCATGCCATATACTAAACACAATTAGCTTTGGAGAGACGATTGGGTATCAGTGAATGTCGGCTTACTAGTGTTACCGGCATCAATTAGGTCCAAGAACTAACACGGTTCCTTTAGTATTTTGCATGTTTAGAGGCAGCCGATTTGAAACACTCACACCAACAACGCCATCTCGGGGAATGTAGTTATGGTTGGCCAGAGCATTCAAACCCGGGCAGGGTCCGCGCTGGTCTCCGCCATCAAAATCTGGTGCTTGGAATGCATGGTCGCCGGTGACTGGCCAATGTTAGTCTTCCTCTACTTCTTCTGTCGGCGGACGAGCACAACACACCATCGATCGGAGTCGTCAGCGGGTCGAATAGTAAGCGTTTGTTCTTGAGCTTCAATAAGCCTTCGTGCAAGTCCTGGGGCGTGATCTCGGAGGCGTCCGACAGCATGCCGCGCTGTGCGAGTTTGGCAAAGTTCTCGGCTGTTGGAAAAGAGTGGACCAGGCCGGAGAAGGGCGCCAGAAGGGCGGCGCATACGCCAAAGGACTTCATGGCTTTGGATGTAGTAACGAGTGTGGGTGTGAATGAGCGACAGAAAAGGAAGGGAAGCTGACGTGCAAATGATGGACTGGGAACAGGTGAAAACCAGTCAGAGAACTACGAATGCGACAGACATCCAAGTCATTCAAAATCCGTCCCCTGACAGAGGCTGATGAAGATTATTACGGCGGATCCGGGCCGTGAATCAATTCAAGGGGAGCCGAGGCTCCGGGTCATGTTCTTGCCCCTATGCTGCTCTGAACGCAGCCGTTTTACACTACAAAAAATCGGAATGGGAGTAGCAAAAGATCAGAGAGGAGTAGTCTTTTTGCCAGAAATTGAGACCTGCAGTAGAGTCCACGATGATTTGGGCCAAGATCGTCGGTATTTGTCTTGTCCCCAGAAACACAATGCCGGCGATTCGTCAATACGACGGTGCTAAGCAGGGATGCAATACCAGGACTGCTATAAACCAAGGATCATACCCACAAAGTACTATTAATCGTTTAGCTCATGGGTTGCTGGTATTGTTGGAGCATGGATGCGGGCTGTCGCGCCTTGGGTCAGGGGAACATTTGGGCTTACAGCATCTAGCCTGTCCTAGTATAGCACTCAGCTTGCACACCAATTAAGGTACAGATTACATTTCAAGGCGTTGGCGGGCTGGAGGCTACTATTATGAGTAATGTAGCGCTTACACGCTGGATTATGCATATTGTTAAGTTCATTCAATCAAAATGACTGCCAAGTACTCGATTATGCCTTTTGGACAGTTTTCAATGTTCAAATATCTCGAGCGCTGCTAGTATCTAGGATGTACTATAGTACTCAAGTACCACAGACCCAGCCAATGACTTGCTGTCCAAAATGGGCTTAGATTGGGTATTCGACACACGCAGTAAGATTCCCGGGTCAGGGGTGTAAACGTCAATATCCACATTCGATTGCACAGCGGAGTAGATACAAAATGGACTTGGCAAGGGAGCGAGAGCCGCGTCAAGAAAGAAAATAAAGACATTCCGTCATCCATGCCAAGTCTGTTCCTCCCGCACGGGGCAGCGGGCGTATGACTCCATGGGAGTATAAGAAAGCCGAGACTCATGGATTTCAACACGCCCAAAGACCCTAGGCTAGGATGTGCATCGACCGTTGGCAGATTGTGGATCATTCAACGTCGCTAAAAACTACAGATAGCAAACAAGTCTCTCCTTGCCTAGTATTGGTGATTGTACTACCTAGCTGTAACTGCAATGGAATCCAGGCTCGTTGTCACAGAAGCAAATCAACAATGATCGTCCCAGATCCCCTCTGCGGCCCGTGGCCAACTTGATGCAAGAGATTCTCGCGCGGGAAATGCGGATCTGGATCGTAGTGGGCTAACCACCACGCTTCCTACATAGTACTTTCGATCGCCTATTGCTTGGTATTATCAAGGATGTGCTGAGAACATGACAAGAAAAAGATTTCATAACTTGAACACGGTATTTAAAAGCCTTGGGATATCGATGTGCATTGCGTCTGCAGCATGCATTATCAACAGCAACCGAGAGGCCTGAGCTGCAACCGTCAACATGACCGTTTTGTGTTGCTGCTTTGGACTACAGTGTATGGCCTTTGGTGACACTACTTACCCTGGTTACGAAAAAAAAATGTTCCTGATGCAACAGTTAAAATTATGGATCTGGTAATGGGTTCCCATGTGTTATCCTGGCCATTGCGGCCCAGACATTGACAAGGTCGTATACAAACCAGCAACGATAATTGATAACCCTGTGGCTTTGTACGGCCTTCTTCTTCTACTTCCAAGTTCTCCCAACACATACACATTTTTGGAATTTCATGTTTCATTCTGCATATTTCGGCCGAGTCAAAGGACCTATTCGGGGTACAGCTGCACAGTTGTGCTCAAGCGGACCCGTTATCTGCTTTTTACATGTCAATTCAGAATCCCTGGAATTGAGATCTTGTTTCTGCCCTTCTTAAACCCCTTCTTTCCATCCCAACGTGTTCCTCAATTATTCGAGAATATCGAAAACTATATCTTCGTATTCATCATCTCGAAAACGGCAAAATGAAATTCTCGGCTTTCGTATTAATGGTTTCCGCCGTCATGGGTGGTCAAGCTCTTGCTGCATCACTCCTAGAGACATACGAGGCGCAGTATCCTACCTGCTCTGTGAGTGAACCAAGAAGACGCTGATTTCTCGGTGAAAATCTAACTCGATGGATGTCATAGTTACTCTGCATGGCAGAGTATGTGCCAACATCGGGATGTTTGACAGGATCAGACTATGAGCAGGTCGCTTGCCTTTGCACCAACGCACCTCTCCAAGCCAACATTACCACATGCGTTAGATCAGGCTGTACTACGTATGAGGGCCTAGGTGAGTGCTTCTGTGTTGTGTGTCTTAATGTCTCAGGGACAAGAACTAATTGGCTTTTTTCAACAGAAACCAAAAATATCACGTATACAATGTGCGGTCAGCCAGTCCGCGACGATTCTGCCACTCCCCTCCTCGTCGGTGTCATTGGGGGCGCCATCGCCCTGCTCGTCTTCATCATGCGCATGTGCGCCACCCTACCCCATAAAGGTCGCCAGCTGGGCTGGGACGACTATACCATGGCTATTACCGTGGCTCTCGCTGTCCCTCCCACCGTCTTTTCTGTTTTACTGTCAGATAATGGCTTGGGCAAAGATATGTGGACATTACCGCTCCAGAATATCGAAAACGTTCTTTTTGTATGTGTAACGCCCAAAGGTTAAAGACCCAAATACTAACTGTCGATTAGTATTACTATTTAGGAGAAATCTTTTACTTTGCCTCCTTGTCCTTTAACAAAATCTCTCTTTTGTTATTCATTCTTCGCGTTTTTCCCGACAGACAGTTCCGCCAGCTGGTTTTTGGCGTTTGCGGCCTTTGCGTTGGGTATGGCGTGAGCTTCGTGATTATCACGGCGTTCCAATGCAACCCCATCAACCACTCCTGGCTGCAAGTTGACAGCACCCACTTGGGGCACTGCAACAACATCAGTCTCCAATCGTGGATGAGTGCAGTCTGCAACATCGTTATTGATCTCATCATCATTGTGCTACCTCTGAAGAACTTGTACGGTCTTCAGATACGGCTAAAGAAGAAGATAATGATCATGTTCATGTTTTCTTTGGGTATCTTGTACGACACATTCCATCCGCTTTGCACAATCTCAACAGGACCAGCTAACTAGTCTCGATAGTGTCACCATTGTCAGTGCTATTCGACTTCGCTCTTTGATCCAGTTTGCGTCCACAGAAAACCCGACTTGTAAGTTTTGCGATACTCTATTGTTGGACCATGTGCTTGGCCCCAGCAACAAAGCTGACCTTCTCAATAAAAAAGGGGATTACAACGAGGCAGCTTGGTGGAGTACAATCGAGCTTCATGTCGGCATTATTTGTGCTTGTCTCCCGAGTCTACGGTCTCTATTCATCAATCTCGGTGTCAGGATTCTAGGAAGCAGCAGTGATAAGTCTCGAGCCACAGCTTATGGAACAAATGCCTCTGGCCATGGATTGAGCCGCAACGGAGGCCCAGAGAAGCAAGTATCTCACAGTGTCCCCAAGCGCGGCGACGAAGGTGACTTCATTCCGCTGGTCGACGTGAATGACAAAGCAGCAAAGAGCCATTTCCAGACGGCCATCGGAGAGGCCGAGAGTTATGATTCGGACATCCACGATGGCAAAATTGGTTACGAAGCAAAAGCCTACCGGTGAATAGGCTAATCGTCCCACTCTGTAATTTTCGTCAAGCTTTTTTTTTTCAATTCGTGTTGTCATTGTAGATATCAGGCTATCCATTTTCAGAGAGCAGCATTTTACTTCATGGGGGCGTTTAAAATCAAGCAAAAAAGGGGCAGCAATTTTGAAAAAGGAATCATCATTTAATAGTATATTCTGTTCCCGCTTTGAATGTCTCCCAAGATAAAGGAGAGTGTATTTGTGTATGCTCACGTACTTACCGTGTCTGAGCTGACGGGTCCAACCTCTGCAGGTTAGTGGACCAAATTGTCACGACGCTTGCAGTCATCCGACGTAAGTTGTCCAAGCCACCATCATTGTAGGCGTCGATGCTCCGTGCTGGAAGCGTGGTGGCAATTGTTCAGATTCGCTTCTCATTGATCGGCCATGGCTCGTCACCGCAAACACCCTTGCGTTGATAGGTGCCTCGCTTATTTTCAACCTCAGGGGACAGTAGGTAGCCGGTTCCTGAAAAATGAAGGGGCCATCACCAGACGCCGAGGACGCGACGACTGAAGCAAAGGAGCCGTTATCCATGTGCTCACTCCGGTCTAGAATCACGGCGTCAACTCGCATAGTATGTACTATGTAGTGACTCGAAAGCCATCTCTCATTGGCTAGCAAGGTGACTGACATGCTTAGATCAGCATGAAACTTGTGCCTTGCACTAGGTACCTACGTGTGACCAGGTTTGAACTCAGTGGTCCTCCGAGTAGGAACGTACTTCCTTGCCAGCCTGGGGATATGACAGCTTACCGGCGCTCAGAATCGTATATAGATCGGCGGAAGTTTGGTAGAGATTGAGTTAGTCTGCGGGGCGGCAAGGGTAGCGGAACTAAGAATTGAGCCGGTCTATCCTGAATACCAGGTAAGGTGCATCTGGGGTCACATCGGCTACGCATCCGACATGCCTACATTTTGTCAAGTCTATTCATTTGTGGAATAGCGCAGGAGGATCAGTGGGAAGCCGTTGAGCTTGTCAAAACCGCAAATGCAGTACATATTTATGAGTAGGTAGATGGATGATTAGTAGCAACATTCGCACAGTCTGCTGCATAGCGGTGTCATGTTCCAGCATGGAATAACATCTCGCTTTGTTCCCCCACCCCACCTCTCTGCCTAGGAAAGTCAAATCCCGAGCTACACAGTACGATGCTGAGCTTGGCAAGGAATTGGGTACTCAAAATGGAAGGGCTTTCTCATTACGATGCTGAGCGTTGTCTATTCAACCCAAGAATATACAATGATCTTGGGTCCATCGTGGCTGTATCGCGCAGACAAAATACTCCATCAAGAGCTATACTAGGCCCGTGTTATTAGTTATACTGGGTTCGACCGGGTCTTTGGGTCGTGACGGTTACCGGCAGCCGCGTCTAAGGATGCCCACAATACGTAGACGACTCCAGTTGATGCTATGGCAGTGCTAGCGCATTGTACCCGAATCGATGCCGTCTCACGGGCCACTGCAAATGCCGGACGGCATCAATGGCGTTCCGGTACAGTGATGATGATTGACCTTTCTAACATTACAACTTTATGCTGCTTCTCACATGTCGCAAGACGTGCCATATGGTGTGGCAGTCACCAAGGCAATAATAGTCTCATTTGTTTTCGTGTATGCCGAAGCGCCGATGCGTACTTTGTTGAGGTAGTGTGTACTATGTAATGATCATGGCATTATCCTTGTACGAATCTACGAATGTATACATGTACCTACTGTGAACATCGCGCCTATCCCGGCTTCCCCCCACGAGACTGCGAGGGTCAGCTGTTCAAGGGGCAAATGGCAGCTGTGGTTCTCGTTACTATGCATTTGCAAGGATGTAGGGAGCTGCTGTCAAAATATCTAATCATTGTTAGAATTTGCTGTCCCAACATCCGGCACTATGGCAAGGCGCCCACATCTTGCGATGCGACTGGCATGTCACTTGGTGGATGGTAGCTTTCAACAGGGGTCGTCAATTTGCAATGTCTGTTCTCTACCTCGCAGGCCCTCGTACCCTGCTTGCAAATTGGAATACCGCCAGGATGCAAGCATCTGAGCAGATCACCTAGCTGCACAGCTTGCCCACAGAGTCTCTTCTGAATTCTGTTGCTTCCTCCCTTCTTCAACCCCTGTGCTTGATGACCCTCTTTTGGGCAAATCTCATGAAAATCATGTATCCGATTTGGTTAGTGTTTCGTAGGTACTGATGACGGCCCGCTCAGCGTTTATACAACGGCTCGTCGATCGGTCGCCTTAGCTAAACCTCTGCTGTGGGCTTGAGGCATCGGTAGAAGCGCCTTATAACGGCTTCAATCTGCACATGTAGATGGAATTTCTTGGCTTTACCACACATATCCAAGTCTTCAGACTTTGTCATTCCTTTACTTGCTTCAGCCCTTTAGCAGTGGTCCTACTGTTGCTGCTATTCATTTCCGCAAATTTCTTTTTCTCTTCTCTTCTAATCTTTATTTTGACACTAATTCGCCTGTATTCGTAATCATAATGAGGAGTCTTGGTTCTGTTGCCGCGTTAGCGGCTACAGCGGCAGCGTAAGTGACGCATTCTAATGAGCACGATAATGACTAAAGCTAAAGACCCATGCGCAGCTTCACAACGCCAATTATCTGGGACGAGCCAATGGCTGACCCTTTGGGCCCTCAGGTTGAGGCCGTAGGACCGACCGCCAACTCGACTTACGAGTACGTGATCGTTGGCTCTGGTGCTGGCGGTGCTCCATTGGCGGCTCGCCTTGCTCTTGCCGGTCACAGTGTTCTGCTCATCGATGCCGGAGAGGATCATCACATGGAGAGGCAGGTGGCAATTCCTGCGCTGAACGGATATGCCTCCGAGTATAACCCGATCAGATGGGAATACTTTGTCGACCATTACGAGAACGAGACACAAGCGAACCGGGATAGTAAAATGACATATTTGACCAAGGAGGGAGAGTACTACGTGGGACTTTATCCTCCCGAGGGCGCAGAGAAACTGGGAATTTACTACCCCCGTAAGTAAAAAGATCAATCACAAAGAGATAAATCATTTCCAGTCTAATTCCAGTCAGGTACCGGCGCTCTTGGAGGATGTACGGAGCACAATGCCCTGGTTACAATCAAGCCCACGGATAAGGACTGGGATGATATTGCTGCTCTGACTGGTGACGACTCGTGGAGTTCCGACAACATGTTGCAGTACTTTGAGAGGCTGGAAGCTTGTCGATACCTTCCCAATAGTGTTGTCGGTCACGGCTTCACCGGATGGCTGCAGACTCGCTTAACACCCATCATCTTGATCGCGGAAGACTTCAAGGTTGCTTCTCTTGTCGTTGCTGCCGCCACTGCCATGGGCAATGGTCTTCTCGGTGCCGTGACCGCTACAGTCACTGGTTTGGCAGAGATTCTAACCCTCGACGTCAACACACCGTCAAGCTCCCGCGATGATGACGAGTTGCTCTACCAGATTCCCATGTCCGCTACAGAGGATTACATGCGCTCTGGTCCTCGCGATTTTGTTGTTTCTGTTGCCAATGCCACCAACGACGATGGATCCAAAAAGTACAAGCTTGACATTGCGCTAAACACGCTCGTGACCAAGGTCAACTTTGACACCACTGGCGAGGCTCCCAAGACTACTGGCGTCGACTACTTGTACGGTCGCCACCTCTATCGTGCTGACCCTTATGCCAACAAGACCGAAAATACCGGTATCTCGGGCCACGTTTACGCCTCCCGCGAAGTTATTCTCGCTGCCGGTTCTTTCAACACTCCTCAGCTCCTAAAGCTCTCTGGTGTTGGCCCTGCCTCTGAGCTCGAGTCGTTTGATATTCCCGTTGTCAAGGACCTACCCGGTGTTGGTGGCAACATGCAAGACCGATACGAGTTTGGTGTTGTCGGACAGGCCGAGTCTCAGTTCGCCCTTTTGAAAGATTGTACATTCCTCGAGGGTGATGACCCGTGCTATGACAACTGGATCAACAATATTGGCGACCTAAAGGGCGGATACACCACGAACGGTATTGCCTTGGGTTGGTTGCATCACTCCTCCGTTACCGAGGAGGGTGATGACCCCGACCTGTTTTTGGGCGGCATTCCTGCTTATCTAAACGGCTACAAACCTGGCTATTCAATTACCTCGACTGAAGGCCTCAATACTTGGACTTGGCTTACCCTCAAGGCTCACTCTCGCAACAATGCTGGTACTGTCAACATCACCTCCGCCAACCCCCGCGACACGCCCAAGATTGTTTTCCGCTCTCTTGCGGAAGGTATTGGCGGAGACAAGGACCTGCAAGCCATAGTCGAGGGTATGAAGTACGGTATCAAGGCCTTTGAGAGTGTTATTCCTCTCGACGGCTCTTTTACACGTGTTTGGCCTCCTTTGAACGTTTCGACCGACGAGGAACTTGCCCAGTTTGCCCGCGATGAGGTCTGGGGTCATCACGCTTCTTGCACAGCCCCTATAGGTACCGATAATGACCCTCTCGCTGTGCTTGATAGCAACTTCAAGGTTCGCGGCGTCGATGGCCTCCGTGTCGTTGATGCTTCCATCTTCCCCAAGATTCCAGGCATGTACATTGTCACTGCTATTTACATGGCTAGCGAAAAGGCCGCTGATGTCATCATTGCCGACGCGGCTTCTTCCTAATTGAGCCCACACGTACTATGTCTATTTTGCTAGCCTTGCAAGTAGTCATTTTATGTACCTAGATAGTAGTCTACGGAACAAGTCTTCCAAGTTCATGCACAGTCGATACTAGGACATGATGTCTTTCATTCTTCAATTCCCACATTAAACCTAAATTTACTTTTAAGATATACGGCAATCTTGTGAAGGAGGTGAAAGAAAACCAAAGTCGCTACCTGTGTGTTGAAGTCGGGCCAATCGACTATTCCACAATCTCTCAGTAAAATAAGACACGGCAGCCGTTGGTAATATTGAGAAATCGACCTGCAATATCAGTCTCTCGATCCGACCTTGTCGACTCCACCAAGGCTCCAACGGCTTGGTATTCCCCATGAAAATTGAACGTCTTGACGGCTGCCGATCGTTCAAGTACCGAGCGGGTCTCTGCGCGTTGGCAGTGGAGCATGCAATCACGGCTTTCGAGCCGAAATACCCCCTGAATTCCTAGTTGCGTCATGCCTGTTTTCACTTTCTTGAACAATGATCTGGGGTCTGGACAAAATGATCGTCAACCTCAGGAATGGGTCCATGTACAACCGAGATGGAGCCCGGCTGTCGGTTACCGAATATACGGTCGTGGGTCGCAGAAGTAGTGGCACGGTTTTGGAAATCGTCTATTGGCATAGAAAACCTCTAAAACTCATGCTATAATCCACAAACACTGGCTGCATCATGCAGGGTTTGGTTGATCCACGGTCTTGACAGGTGTTTGGGATTTTGAAGCTAGCTCAAGTACAAGTCAGCAAACAAAGACTGGAAGTCAATCGTCTTCACCGATATCATGGAAATCCAATGTACTGCTATCGCCAAAAGTCCTCTTTCAGTCCCCCAAAACGATGCTCGCTCCTTCATGGGACACATGGATCAGGCAGTGCTCGGTATTGTGAGAGTAGATGATGGCCATGGCGATCTCTTCCGGAGTGAGAAGCAAGATATCACATCGCCACCTCGCCCCGGTTATAGAAGCAACCACTCACTACCGATGTGTTAAAACGCCGACTTGGCACCAATAACCTAACTGACTCTACATGAAAACATTCACTGCGAGATAACAACGGGGAGCGAAAATGCATCGTCTGCCCAGAACTCTACGGTCACGAATATTCAAAAAGTACCATACCAAGCCTTCATGGCCTTGTAACTACATATCAGACAGAATCTGCAATAGCAGCTATCAAGTACGTCTCCAAATGTCGCCGAATAATAGCACCCTGATCTCGTGCTCATGCTTGTTGTTCTGTGACCCCTCTGACCCGTGTTCTTGTGGGATTTCATCATTCATGCGAAAGACTCAAAATTTCCCTTCTGTGTCTGGCCCAGAGCACACGCTGTTGATAATGCTCCATCACTAAGTTACAGTGGTGCAGCTACCATCATCCTTGTTATTCTTTGTTTTTAGGGCTTGCGTACAATCTTCAATAGTATCCCCTTCTCAGGTGATCCCCTCGCCTTCCCCTTTCTATTTCTTATCACCCATTGATGGCCATACACTGAACACATTGTCATCAGGGATACGAACAATTAGAAAACCTTGAGTACGCTTAAACTCATGTACCCTTAAGAAGATGAACATCTTCGCCTCGCAAAAGTGCCCCACGAGAAAGTACTCAAAAGTAGAAAATGCGGGTCAGTGTCGCCCAGTCCATGCTTTGGATATGGAAGTACCTGGTTAGTTACGGGGAAGATGAATATTAGTAAGGGTTGCGCCTACAATCTCAATGTTGTCTGTTACGACTCATAGTCTGGATGGATGCTCAAGCTCTTCCGAATTTGCGAAATCTCCGCATCCATTTTCGAATGTAGCGCAAAATTGTACTCTCTTGATCAGGCTAATGCCACCGGAAACAGGCAGTACTGCGGATCAAAATAGGATAATATTCACCACGACATCTTGGGTACCTGGTCAGGGGTAAAGAAATACTAGTCCGGGAAACGTGTACTATCCATGATCCATGTGGGCTTGACTTCGGCACAAAATCAACTCGACAGTCTATTCAATTTGCTTTGAGCACGCTTCGCCATGCAGGCCGGCCACTGACATGAGTCCACCACTTTGATAGATTGGTCCTTCGTGTAATTTCCTCTTCAAGACCTATTCTTGACATGAAATGGAACCACGGCAAATGATAGATATCCACGAGTGTGATTTTCTAAAGACTAGTTAAAGAATGACCACTGCATAACAGATTAGGAATGATTACCTTTCCAGAGAGATAAGACTGCTCGCCGAGTATCGACTCATAATATTGGATTGTCTTGATCAGCAAGTCTTTTGCTGATTGTACTTTGGCAGGGTCACTCTCTCCGTGACCCATCATCCTGATGTAGCCAATTAACCAGAATGCGCGACCAAAGGACCCAAAAACGATGACGTGCTCAGAACTTACTGTTTGAACAAAAGCTCATAGGACAATGACTTCATGGACGGATCAAAATAGGAGTACTCGATGCTCAATGCCTGTTCGTAGAGGCCATAACCCACTGCGCCGGCTGCTTTGCTAGGCAATAGAGACTTTTGTTCAGATTGCCCATATTTGTCTACAAGATAGCGACAGATTGCACGCGACTCAAACAACTTGACTCCATCATCTTCAATGGCTGGAATAATGCCAAAAGGGTGGTGCAAGTCGACGAATCCGGGATTCTGTTAACAATTAAGCTCTATAATCCTAATACTCGGGTGAAGTTTTGCAGATTTACCTTGTGTTCGCCTTTGGACATGTCTACAAATTCTAGACTGTACTGCACACCCAGTTCATGAAGCACAGCAAGTACTCTCTGAGTACAGGTTGAGTATTGCGCGCCAAACACCTGTACAGTCATGTTGGTCAGACGGGGAGCGAAACTCGAGTGGTGATTTTCAATGTGATGCAACGAAACATTTCATTACATCTTCAGAAGATATAGTCAACCCATAGAATAGCTACAGCCGGTATCTGACAAGGATGACCGGGTATGCCGAAACCAAAGGACTTTCGGCCGTCCCGAAGTTATTGTGGGGCCGGGATGGGAGACTTCCAAAAATTACTGCTCCGGGTCCGGCTGTGCCGGAAATGAGCACAATTTAGACGATGGCAGGGAATTCTTTGAAGCCGATTTTGGATCAGAATCCATTCTCGGATACGATTCGGGTGCGGAACGTGTCCAAGGTCGGGTGAAGCGAGCCTCGTACTTACCTGGGACAGTAACTAGGTAGATAGTATTCATAAGCGCCAATGCATTGAAAGATTCAGTACATAACATGAGTGCCCCGGAAATAAAAAATCATTTAATTTTGTTCAAGTATTGAATTCAAGAAAATAACAATAAAAGTACATCTCATACCATGATCATGGCATCAACTACCGCTCAAATCGATGATACCATCCCGATCGCTGGGTCGCAACGGACCATTACACAATTCATTAAAATTGATGCTTCCAACATTCCATTTGAGCCAGAGCGGTGGTCTGTCGTTATTATAGGATCAAGTATGATTGGAATGACATTGGGTGCGCTTCTCGGATTTCATGGGTGAGGGCTCCAACAAATATTGACAAGTCTGACACGCACTGACTAGAACCGCAGTGTCCCTTCCCTTTCCTTTGATCGTCACACGTCGACAGCAATCCACCCAAGAGCAGCGCTGTTTCTGCTGCGCTCGGTCGAAATTTTTCGTCAGCTGGGTCTAGATGAACATTTTCGCGAAAACAGTGCAAAGAACTTTGATCTTGATGCCGGCATGCTGATCACAGACAAGTTAGTCGGAGGCAAAACAATCATGGCTCTGCAGGAGAGCGATCCGGAGCAAGTCGCAAAGGTCTCCCCGGTCGACCGTTTCTGGCTTACACAAAACATGTTTGAGCCATTGATACGTGACCGCGCAAGGGAATTTGGCGCAACACAAAAGTTCCAGCACACGGTCCTGAATTACGAGGAGGTATCTGACGGGGTCATTGTCTATGTTCAGGATCTTGCTACGGGGCAGATCAAGAAGTACCACACCCAGTACCTTGTTGCAACAGATGGCAACCGAAGCGCCACGCGAGCAAAGGAGGAAATTGCTTGGCATGGACCAGGTATACTTGGTTCGGCCATATCTGTCAATTTTCATGCCGACCTACGACCATACCTCGGCGTTAGAGCCAAACATGGCGTAACATATATCACTAACCCCAAAGTCGATGCGGGCTTCCGTCTTGAAAGCGAAGGAACCAGAGGCTTCATGATTGTGACCCGCGCAGGAGAGCGCACTTCCTTTGCGCCAGACAGTGTAAGCGCGGCTGACGCAAAACAATTTTTTCGTGACGCTTCTGGGATCACGGAGGACATTGAGATTCAGGTGGATTCCATTAATTACTGGTCTGTGGCTGGTTTCAGTGCTGACAAAATGGCCAATCCGAGCAACCGTATACTCATTGCCGGCGACGCTGCCCATGTGATGCCTCCCACTGGTGGCATGGGCGGCAATACGGGAATTCAGGTTGGAGTTGCTCTTGGACACTGCAGTATTGATTGTGGCTGACTAACCGAGGGTAGGATGCTTACAACCTGGCGTGGAAATTGGCATATGTCACGCAGGGAAAAGCTGGCCACGACCTGCTAGCATCATATGGTGCCGAGAGAATTCCAGTGAACAAGTTCTACTTGGATCAAGCGTATTCAAGATTCCAGAAACGGGTCGCGCACACTAAGCCCGATACGCCAGAGCTTCCAGATGTCGTGTGCGAGCTGGGATCTCTATACAAGTCAGGCGCAATCGTCCGGGGCCCGAATGATACCACGACCGCCGAACAGGGCTACGAAGACCCTTTTGACCCGCGAGTGCAGGCCGGTAGCAGACTGCCCCACGTGCGAATACTTGACACTCGCAGTCCAGCTCGAAAGGTCTCGACCCTAGACCTTGTAAAGCGAGAGTTTCTGCTCATCGCTGTTGATGCCGACTCGCCGTGGCTCAAGGTAGCCGGGTCATTGCCGCTGGCGCTCGATACATTCATTGTGAATGGGAACTCTTTGCCGTTTCAAGATCGGGAGAACCAAGTCCGCAAAGTCATGAAGCTTACTGAAGGGGCCGCTCTTCTGGTTAGACCGGACGGCGTCATAGCTTGGAGAGCTCCAGTAATCGAGACTGGGCACCTGAAATTGCTTCAGACAACGTTGGAAGAGATCCTTCACAAATCAATGGAGAGGAGATAGATGGAGGGCAAGATGTATGACATCGAACTGAATGGATTTGGAGGTGCTGTGAGTGAGGAGACAAAGATCAAACCCACCTGTAATAGCACCTAGAATAGTCCCGGCCTCCACTTACCGGCAAAGCCACCCCACATCCGGAATCGTGAATTGATAGTACTCAGACTCCGAATAATGAACTTCCTTGAATCAACTCCCAAATATATGTTCTAAAACAGTAGACTTGTCAGTCTGACTCAACTTCTCGTTGAGGAAAAGATTGATCAACGTACAAGCATGCATCGACTTGGCCCCAATAAGATCAGCACGGGAGCGACGAGGAAAAGGTAATCGTATCCCAAAATCCGGACTCCGTGTCTTCTATGGATTGTGAGACTGAATAATCGCCAATAGTGCAAAGTACAAGGCGGGACACGGTGTTGTCACCGGGCGCAGAATGACAGCGCGGAATAGAACGAGAATACGAGCTCTCCAAGCCTGCCAAGAGTGTGCTACCACCAAAACCAAATGCGACAACGGTAGTCCGTGCCAGCGTTGCGCCAGAAGGGGTCTGAGATGCGTGCGCGACATTGATATACAAGATTGGGGCACGGACCGAGAGACCGAATATTCCAATGCACTTGCCACGTCTCTTGAGCGCAATGCTGAGACATTAGGCAACGACTTCCGCGGTATTGCGGAAGCGCTGGGAGCTGCCATGATCACGCCCAGCGCTTCTCTCACGGATACGCAAGTTGCTGGTGCATATTCAACATGTGAATCTGCATCACAAGATACGAGTATGATCCCACCCTGTGCCGCTGAATCAGATCCCCTGGGCGCTGGCCGTGACATGCCCGCGGGTCGGCGAGAAAACGACAACTTTGATCTGACTACCCAAGATGCCGAGTTCCTCGCTGCATTCCCTGATATTTTCCTCGAGACTGAAAGTAGAGACCACCTGTTCATGACACCAGAACAGGATTTCGGCATGTCGGAATGGATCATGGAAGGCTCCAGCTCCGTACAAGCTACAGCCGCGGCCGCCGCCCCGGCAGGAGCTCCAAGTCCGGGATATAGCCTGCCAACGCCGACAGAGGATGTCAGCGGTCAGAACCCCTTCAGATTCGATTTTTCTGTGCGTGATCACTTGTTGGCATTCGCCGTCGATGCATGCGAGCCTGAGCACCTGTCTACGGTGGTCTCGGCTTTTCCGACATGCGAGGGCCTCGAAACACTGGCTCGGACGTTCCTGTCCTGGCATGCGGAACAGGAAGATACATTTATACACAAGGCGACATTCATTGTGGCCGAGGTAAGAACTGAACTCTTGATGGCCGTTGTCGCTGGAGGCGCGGTCAGGTCTTCAAGTCAAGCAGTACAGCGATTTGGTTTTGCTTTGCATCGTGTATTGGGCATCCAACTTGCAAAGTTGGTGAGTAATCGCAATTCGAGCCTTTCCTGGATATGATGCAGCTTTGGCCTATCATCCATTACTGATGCGCGTGTTTAGACTGGGAAGCTGGAAAAGCCTGCTTCTGAGCTTCAATTCCTCCAAGCATATGCTCTCTACAATCACATCGGATTGTGGAGCAGTAACGAGCGTACCATTGAAATGGCCCAAGGAGGCAACGGAAGCCTCTTGAGTGTGAGTTTACAAAGTCCTTTGGCTATGCCTAGGCTACCTAGCTCAAGTAATCTCATCAGATACTCCGTGGCTCTGGTCGTCTCCGACAATCCTCTTACTCCCATGTTTCAATTTCTGGCAATACAGGCTTGACTCCAGATGGCCGGTGGAGGAAATGGATCACAGAAGAATCGTACAAGAGGTAAATACACGAGCCGTGCCTTATCCCATCCGATTACTGACATCAAAGGCTTGTGTTTTACGTTTTTGTACACAGCAATCAGGAATCCATAATGACATTTGGTACCACACCACTGTCCTATTTCGAACTAACCCTTCCCTTTCCAATCACCAAAAGGGTCTGGGCAGCGTTATCCGATCAAGTCTGGCAAGAAAATATGACACAGCTCTCAGATGGAAACGTCCAACTGGACCTGTCAATTACCGATTGTCTTGCAGACCTGTCCCGACTCGTGTCCTTGTCAAATGCCTATGACCAAACACTTTCGCGACTCCTTCTTCTCTATGCGCTTTCGCCCATGATCCAGAGCTACCGCCACCTCCACATGGCCCCGACCTGGAATTGCGGTGCCGATTCAAGTGGAGACCATTTCTCCGATAATATGCATTATCACTGGCTTCTCAGGCCATTCGAAAACCTAAAAAACATCTTTGAGCTCTACGATCTCGACACAGGCTCTTCCACAACATCACAAATCCTAATGGAGATGCTTCATCTGCATCTGCACACGCCCTTGGACCATCTGGAGCTGCTCACGGGCAAGACAGGACCGGCGGAAGCGCAGGCGTCGTACAAGCTTGTCTGCCGGTGGGTGGGCAGTCGCATGGCGCGTCGGTCAGCCTGGTATGCGGGCCAGTTACTTGGGAAAATTCAAGACTTGCCATCAGCGACCATGACAGACTTTCACTGCATCATAGTGTACCAGGCTCTGTTGTGCTTATGGGCATATGGGTCCATATCCAATGGCGGCTCAGAGACCGGTGCTATGGGTGGACAGCAAGTCGACGTTTCTCTGGCCGGAGAAGAGATTGACATTCCCCTGGACTCGATGGAGAATACAAACACTAAAAAATGGATCGTATTTGGCCGAGGCCGTCCAGTCATATCGGCCATACTGGACAGTACCCAGCCGCATAGTCTGACCCAATGTTCTCTGTCGGCAAGCTCGATGCTGACAGCGCACTGTGTGAATCTGATCAAAAGTAAAATCGGGTGGCCTCCAATTGCGGAACATACAAGTCTGAAGATACGGCATCTTGGCAATATGAAACTTAGGGAGTTGCTGCAATAGGAATCGACGTGCTTTATTTGTCAATTGTTGGCCCCTCGTCGCAAAAGTACGACTCTAACCTAATCATTCTAGGGGCGTCAATCTGCTAGGGTGAAATGCGGCCACAAACTCAAAGTACTGCCTTGGCTTGCCTACGAGACAGAATAGCCAGGGGTCATGCAGCTTTAATGTACCATTGTATGTTGGATGTGCGCAAATGTACCATCCCTTGCGAAATGCAAGGGTTCTTCTCGCTCATGGAATGGCAACGTCATGATACAACTATGCAGCTTATAGGACAGACAATTCCAGAGTTGTTTATCCCCATTACTATTAATTCTACTTTTAGTAGGCATACTCATAATAAGAAGCGACGAATCATGAAAATCCAGCTTGTGCGTTCATCATGCCTTGATCCATCACCACGTTGCGTATTCTTCACATTTGGCCATTGACATTAAAGTTGAAGGCCGAATCCCGGAGGTACCGAGACTTTAGGCTGCGAGGCTTTGCTGAATAGGTCCCGTTGAAGCCGGTATAGTCGCTCAAGCTTGGCGGCAGATCTTTCACTCCCTGTCCCCATGAGCTCTCATTCCTTCCTAGAGTGAGGACGAGTTCTTTTCCCTCGGTGAAAAAGCTGTGGTCGAGCCAGTTCTTGGTATATGGCTCCCCGTCAAGAGTAGCGGATTGGATATAGATTGCCTCATAGCTGGGGTCAAAGTTGACGTTTGTGATTGATGCTGTCTTGCCCGTAATTGGATGTTTGATGCTGACTGACTCAAAATATGGCGGTGTGATGAGGTAAACATTTTGACCGGGGTTGGGAAAAAGACCCATCATGGAAAATGCCAAGAATGAGCCCATTGCGCCGCTGTCGTCGTTGCCAGGCAGACCACCAGGCTCAGTGTTGAAGTATCGCGGTATGTAAAAGTGTGACCTCAGCGCAGAAAGTGCAGGCCTACCGGCATAGTGATACTGATACACTGTGAGAAATGATGGCTCATTGCCGATTCCTGTGAGACATGTTAGTGGATACGTCCAAGACTTGATATTTTCCATCATGTTAAAGAAACCGAGTTACCAAGCCGGAACTAGAGCAGAGGTCTTGAAAAAATGGCCTTGAAGAAAGCTTACCGGTGATGTTCTGGTCATGGAGATAGTTGAGACGCCTAACGAATTCTGCGGGACCGCCATATAGTGACATGAGATCTGCTTGATCGTGAGGTACAAAGCTGCAAAGAAATTTAGTCAAATTCCAAAATTTTCAAGCATCCGACTTACAATCCATATTCCCAGATGCTGCTTTCAAAAGTCTCCAGAGCGGTGTTTTGGAGACTGCACCCGAATGTATGAGGTTCCGTATCGATATTGCTGCAGAATAGAGGATTCTGGTCTGCCCAAGTCTGGTTAAGATACTTTGGCTGAAAGAATCCGACAAAACCAGTATCTTCTCCAGTAAACAGTAGGGATGGTGTCGTGGGGTTATAGAGATTCTTCCAGTTGCCGCTCGACGCCAAGTACTTTGATGCATCGGAGCTCTTGTTCAGTCCGTTTGCTACCTGTGCTACGCAGTAGTCGTTGTAACTATACTCTCTGTTGATAGTTAGTATGAAAACAAAATGAATTGGTCTTTGACAGGCGCCAAGAGATCTAGGGGTATGGTTACTCTGCAATGTAGTCAGCGACTGTTTCAGGATTCATTTTGCATGTTTGGCGCATATCAACATACCACAACGTTCGAGAGATACTCCGCGTCATTGTGCCGAACCCTTTGTAATCAAGGTCTTGTACCGGAATGTATCCCAATTCTTTCCAGCTATCCAAGCCACCACGCCCATGGAGATCCCAAGCAAAGGGCTCAACTTCAGCGTCTTTGACAAGAGCATCGTAGCCAGTTGCCCACTAAAAAGCGGTAAGTCACAAGTCAAAAGTATGCACAAGTCATACTCACATCAATTTTGTCATTAAGGCCTTTGATAAAGGCATCAGCAAGAACAACATCGGCATTTGATCCACCCTGAATGGCGTAAGATTAAGTCTCGTGTGAATGTGTATGATTCTCACCTGTGTATATCCATTGCAGAAACTCATGTGGCAATCAGGTAGCCAACCTTCGACGCGATAAGTATCTATTAGCGATCGAATCATCTGCGACACCGATGCAGGATCCAATATTGTCAAGAAAGGGAGCTGAGATCTAAAGCTGTCCCACAAGCTGATATTTCTTTTAGTACAACTCCAAGGACTCTCTCGATGGGCTACAAACCAGTAGAATGAATCAAAGTAAGGCTCGCCATGATTCCATAATGGATTCTCTCCAGTGTACTGTAAATCATTAGTCGCATTTCAAAATCTTCCGTCTGAGCCATCAACTCACGTTTTGTGGATTAACCATGGTTCTATACATGCCGCTGTAAAAGCTAGTTACCAGCGATTCATCAATGCCACCCCCGGTTGAAACAGTGATCGGGCTAAGTTTGTCCTTCCAAGCATTTGATGCCGCCGTGGATACACTGTCGAAATCGAATTCTGGTATCTCGGTTTCCGCATTGGAACATGCTTTGGCGACGCTGATGAAGCTGACTCCGACTCTCGCTAATATTGGGGTGTCTGCAGTCTCGAACCTGACAAAGGCACCTCCTGGAAGTGGGTAGCCATTAATACCGGCCTTGATTTTCAAATCCTGTGCTTCCGTGGTTGCGCGACTATTGACGAAAATGCCACTATCATGGATAGAAGAACCGGTGAAATCTGTACAAAAGTAGGCAGAATAAGTGCCCAGGCCGAAACTCGGCTTGAAGACGGCACTTCCTGAGATTCTACCAATCTCGGCGTCGACAGACACTGTTCCATTATCTTGGCGAGAGTCGGAAAGATCGGTCAAGTCTTGAAGAATCAGTGGGTATGAGCCATTATCATTGGAGGACCCTGGAAAAGTAAAACGGAAAAGAGCGGCGCTATGTGTCGCAGTCATTTCAGCTTCAATCCCATTGTTCAAGGTGATGCTAAAGTAACCTGGGCGCGAGATCTTTAGATAGTCAGAAGTTGACCTCGTCATTCCAAGAAGAGCTACTCACCACACTCGAATTGTCAAAAGACCCATATCGAACTCTCTCCTTCTTTGGAAAACTGCAACCATCGATGTCATTACCGGGACATTCTGCGTAGGGAAATAGGGGAAAGTTTCCCAAACTAGGCGAGCCACCGGTACCGGAATCTGTCAACAATCATCAGTCACGACCCCTCAAGTAAACACTGGACCATTTTGGTGGGAACGGCGCACCGTGAAGAACGGAGAACCCAGAGATAGGACTGCCGTCTAGAGTGAAGCCTCCTTGTCGAGAGTCGCTATTCGTGTCGGCCACAGCCTTGGCAATTCCGTACGGCAAGGTAGCACCAGGGAAGACTGCATGATGGAGAATCAGTAACTTGTTGTAGAGTAGACTTCCTGGCTGAATGTGTACCGTTGCCATAGTTTGCGGTTCCAATCAATGGATCTACATAGACTAGAGGGTCGAATGCTTCGTCCAGAGCGTGCACAGCATAGCTATAGTGAAGCAATGCCAAGACCGCGCTGGACGAGGTCCAGGGTGAGAGGAGCGAGTTGTACATCCCGACGAGTTCTACTGTCGCTCCCCGTGCCGTTGAGGATATGAGAAGGTGTTGAATCAAGATATAATACTATTGAGACGACAACGCTCTGTGTCCTCCCTAATCAAGACCCCAAGCGATGCGCGAGAACCGTTGGCGGAGTTGAAGGAGATAGTCCATTGTCGGCTGTCGTTCTCTGACTCTACCTAAGTATGTAGGCCGGATCAAAACAAGTGATTGCTTCCCAGCCCATCCGTCGTCTAGACCTACCTGGAACATACATGATCCTTGAGCTCGACGGCAACCACGACTCGCTCTCTGTTCACCTACATAACTCTACATTGTTGCAGCGGCACCGTGCAGCAGACCGGGCAGGATGGTTATTGCCTAGTAGGTGTGCGCGTGATGGCAAGTGTTGGTGACAGTCTGGTCGGTAGGTGAGGGCACGAGCTATGCAGGTCTTTGGTAGGGTCACAATTAGGGAGCGGGGGGGTGTCACCCGCCTCCGATTTTCGACCAAAGAGACTAGAGGAACCAGCATCTTTTGTCCCAGCAGAGGTTCTTCGAGTGTGACGACATGTGGATTAATGAATAGTTCTCCGACAAAAGAAGGAAGTTGTTCTTCGATCTATCCCTCACCGCCGGATGGAATTTCTGGTGTCTTTGCCCTTTCGTTGACTCGTACCAAGTTGGCGTATACTAACCTAGATGGTTGAGCGAGTAAGGCGCCTTGTCAAGATAACACCCATATTATTCGGACAATGGTTTATAGCGGATAGTTCGTGAGGGGATGGCCTAAAGCAGGGGCTTAATGAAATTCATACATGGTACCACCATTGCTCCCAACAAGACCGCGTTACCAAAGGGTCATCATGTCTCTCTGATCACGGTCTGGCCAGTGTCGCGTCATTATTTATCCCAGGAAGAAAAAGATGATTCTCGTTGTGGAAGCGAACCTAGAAACATCATGTTGCAATCACAGACACGTCGCAGTCCAGCATATTTGCTTGTTTCCAGCTCCTGTTTACCCTGGTTGGTGATCGACGCTGCAGTCTCGTGTCCAGACTCCAAAACCGAATGCACCCCCACCAAACCTCCCCGCGAGGTCCAGCGGCTCCCCGCGCCGAGAAGTCGAGTGCTGCGGGCCAAGATCTTGGTATGGGCCAAGCTTCACAAACGCGACAACGACGCCCCCATTGGCCTTGGCTTACATCTTCTGAACGTGTCGCTCAAATAATTGATATTTCTATCATCTAGAACCACGATATAATTGTTCATTCTTCATGGCAACTTGAAGAATAATAATCATGAACGTTGCCACACGCGCTAGGTCCAGCCGTTGCAATGAAACAGAGCTGAAACCTGCGCTTCGTCCCTCAGAGCAGCCCCCTTCTCCAGGGCACTAGAGACAGAAATGTTACCTCATCCTCCTCTATAAGCAGCCTCCATATGAGGCTCTTGGCGCCCAGCGCTTACAACCAGAAATTTCCAAATCATGTCAACTTCTATATTGTTATTCTCTTGGCTCAGCTGTCGCATTCGTTGAGTTGAGCTTGTGTTTTTATCAGTCTGCCATCTATTAGCTGACACGCTCGTTACATGATATCATGCTTTGCCCAGAACGCCCCGGCTTGCTATTTTTCTTGGTCTCCTGCTTCATCATTGTATGGGGCTTTCGAATCTTTGTCTTTGACATTCCCGATGCGGTCGCGTCGATATTTCACGGGACGCCGGATCGTCTGGAGGTCGAAAGGGAATTTGTGCAGCAGGCCATGAGCGTCGAGTTCCCTGCTCCCATTGACTATGAGCCGATCCGACAAGTATGCGCTCGCACCCAATTCCGGCCTGGCCTCGTCTTCAGCTGCGAGGGTCAACATGGAGGCATTGGCATGGTGAGGAATCAGATCCTCAAGTGCGTGCGATATGCGATTCATGGCGGTGGAGCGCTCGTTATTCCTTCCATGGCCCTTCGTAACGCGAAAAACTTGGCCGACATTGAGACCTCTACAGAGGTGCCACTGGATTATCTGCTGGACCGCGATACCTTTGTATCGCACTTGTCAAAAGGATGTCCTGGAATGCAATTATACGACCATGCAGACGACTTTCCCTCCTACCAGCATCGGACTGGAGAGCCATTACATATACTTGGGGATCAATTCGAGCCGGACCATCCTCGAGAAGGGCTTCGACACCCTCGACAATGGAGGGAATTCTTTGACAATTGGCTCGAGGAGAAGTCCGTGAAAGTTTCAGCCAATGCCCCAGTACACGTCAAGTTTGAGCAATCCTTCCTCGAGTATCCCGTGCAAGACGATGGCGAGGCCTTTGTAAACGAGTTTGGAAAGATTCTCTCATACCGAAATGACACTCGCGCCCTGGCGGCCAAGGTCCTTTTCGAGATGAAACGCAGGTTCACGCTGCCCATTGACCCAAAGACGGCCATCAATCCTGGCACATACTATGGAGCGCACTTGCGTCTCGAGTCTGACGCCATCTGGGCTTGGCCGCCTGCACAGTGGCGATTCTCACGAATGGACGAACAATTTGAACAGCAGTTCCAAAATCTTGAGCGCTCAGGTTTGGGAGTCGTCTATGTTGCGTCCGGGAATCAGACCGTGGTGGACATGTTTGCTGAGGCATGGGGCAAGCGCATCACAGCAAATCCTGGATCCGGAAGGAGAAACGTGACGGTAGTGACCAAGCATGATTTGCTTCGAGGACATGACAGACAAAGACTAGAGGGCATGACGTTTGATCAACAGGCTCTGGTCGATTTCATGGTCATGTTCAAGGCAAGCGCATTTATGGGTGTCGCACACTCGAGCTTTCCGTGGACGGTTGCGTTGCGACGTCACGAGCTGAGCAAGTACACAAGCTATGCGAATGAAGGTTCCGACTTGTTGAGAGATGAGTATAGCGTCATCATGGGAATGCAAGCCGACTATCCGGAAATAGACCCCTTTGTCACCGGTATCTGGCCGTAAGAGATGTTAGGGCGTCGAGATATTCATTGAGATCTCGTCAAACATTGAAATCCGCAAGGCACAGGCTGTTTTCGAGCAACTACACTGGAACGGGCTTTCCTGGAATTGGAATTTCCATTTCTGATGCATCTGTCCTGTAGAAGCGCGACAGCCTCTACCGTCGTTGCTACACAGTATCATCTCAAGATGCGAGTGTCGAAGCAACATATCCTCGCTTGCAAATTTGCCCGATCATCAATGCTTCTACCTGTCATTGCTTCCAAAGATGATCGATATCGGCTTTCCGCTTGGTAGGATGAAGCAACACAAGTATCGATCATTGTGAGTGCTAGGCCACGTCAACTCGAGAGTCTCGACTAGGACGGCGACGAGGTGCTGGAAAAGGGGTCAAGAAATTCAAGTCTGGGTCAGACTTTTGGCAAGATGGAAAACATTTTAGCCAAGAATAGAGATCAAACCATAATGCAAACAAAGTAAATTAGCTGCTCAGAGGTAGCTTTTTTGAGTCACCATAATCCATGTTCATGCACAAGCCCCCGTTTTCCAGATGACCACTTATCGAGACAAAGCATTTGCAGAAGCACAAATGTCCAATACTTTAAAGATGAATAAACCTGTAGTGAGCTGACAGCACCGTCGATTTTGGTAGAAAGAAATCCCCACGTTGTAGGGCGAGAGCGGCGCCTTCAAACAACACAGAATAGAGGATCATTCACGTATTGTCTGACACAACCAGGAGAACCGAAATGCTGCTTACAAAGAGATCCTCGAATCGGAATCCAGCTTTTGCACTTCACTGACCGGCTCGCCATGGCATCAAGGTGGCACAGACCATACGAGGATTGAGCACACCATCAAATGCGAGCTGCCATGATGCCATTCATACCGGCGCCAACATAATCGTTGTTGTCGCAGCTCGTACTGTATACACCCAAACCTTGATAAGACGATTTCAGTGTGCTAACGATACCACTTTACAGCGATCCGATCGCTTGTCAACGAAAATTTGTTAGGGAGTTAACGATATTCACCCCTGTATATAGCGTATAATGATAATCGTTGGAGCTGGCCGGACTTTTGCAGGTATCG